TTTGACTACTGCAAAACAACTGATGTCATTTTCGGTCGGACTCACAACCACGCAGGAGGCGACTATGAATGATACTGATTGTAATGACGACGATTATTATTATTACAATTACTACGTATAATATTGTTACTCTTATCGAATCAAAATAATAAACTATTAAACCAAAGAGGCCCTCCATTCAATCCCCAATCCAGCCTTTCTGACCGGAGCTCGCACGGTCGTTGCACCACGATTCACGGACCTTGTAGAAATCTACTATGTCGGCACGCACCATCGGTCCTCTCCGAAAATTCCGCGCCAGGTCACCTGAGCTACAAACGGACGGAGCAGGACAGGGCGCATCATGCACCTCAGAGACCACGCGATTGGGTTCGCTGCTCCGGAGACGCCGCATCGCTCGGATATTAAATCGCCAGACTGGGAGACCAGAGGAATTCCGAGAATCTCCTCGAGTCCGCAGTTTTTCCAAGATCTGATGGCAGACTGGGAGGCCAACGTCCTCCACCGAGAGGATATGCAAGCTCACTTATCTGGCAACGATGGACGAGCTCTTGCTGAAATCTGCTCGGCGTGAACATAACGAGAGCCTGCCTTTCTTTCCTTTCAAGAAGGGCTGTTTGCGTGTAAGGACTTTTGCCCCAAAAGGTACTTTTGTCGAACCGCAACTTTACAAAGATGAAGAGCCCTCTCCCACAGTCGAGAAAGAGCTAACAGCCGTGTGAGAACAAATGAGACAGAAAAAAAGGCAATGGAGACTCAAACAGGCGGGACGTTGAGAGTTCGAGGGCATGGGGGAGCCGCAACCGTGAGCGAGCAGCCATTAGTGAGGGTGTGGTTGAATGACGCTATGATGACGCGTGGTTCGGACACAAAACAGTCACAAAAGAGCCTGGCTTCGACCCAACCAACAACAGTCGGTGAGAGTGGAATTTGGTGTTCCTAAATGAACAGGCGGACGGTCAGACGTGTGGGCAGATGCGCAAAGGGATTGAGAGCCCAACCCGCAGCGAGCTGCGCATGAAATCAACTGAGAGGGCTGCGGCGCAACAAGAGAGTCACTCTGAGTTTCCTGTAGAGACATCAGTCGACGACCGCAACGATCTCGACGACGGATGGAGTGTGGAAAGTGCTCATGACAACACGAGAGCCTCAAGAGAGCGCGAAACGCTAACAAACAGCTCGCACGATGCAACGCACTCGGAATCGGTCATCAGCGGAATGTATGATGACGACGCTTTTCGGACTCCCAAACCGCGGGAAGGCTGATGGGTTCCCGGGCTTTAGCTCGGTCTCCTTTCTTTCCGGCTTCCCGCTCGTTCATCTCCGGAGCTCCGGTGTTGGAGTCACACATTCAACTTCACGGCAGCGCTCCACATGCCGCCCCAACGCTCCCTGGGCGGCATTCGGCGAACGATTCTTTTTTGTCGTGAAGGTGAATACGTACTGCCCCGGGAAAATCGCTGGAAGATCGTCCCTCGTCGCAGGAAACCGGATCGATCGAGCAAATCACAGTTCCGAGCCCGATTCAGGATTCCTCTCCGATGTGTGCCCGGCGAGTGAGCCTCAGGAATTGCCACTCGTTGTATTCCTTCCTGAGGGGAATCCGAGATCGATCTCCGTAGCACGAGAGCTCCCGAGGGGACTAGCCATGTCAAAATCCAAATATCCCCAATTCATTGTATATATTAGGAAGAAGGACAGCACGACTCAGGTATGCAAAACGCTACGAATAAGTCGCCCCGGACGATGCACTCGAGTTCGGCCGTCCTGGATAGCCTCCGATATGACCGGCCAGTACGGTCCCATGGCCTTTGATGCCCCGGAATCTCGATATCATCGATGGTTCTGTATCGGCTCAGTCTGCTCGACAATGTTCAGGGTAGGATACTCTACAGGTTCGCTCGACAAGCGCTGGCCGGAAGCGATCATCGCTCTTCGATTGAGAGTCCCGCCCTCCCCCATGAGATGAGAGCTGGAGCCGAACAAGACTGCATTCTACAATTGACGGCGTGGTATGCTCGAGCCGGTGCCCGTCGACCAGCTTCGCTTGGTCCTAATGATTGTGCCCCGATGTCGCAGGGTACCGTAATCTCCGGCTGGAGTACCGTTCTGGCTGAGTCTCTCGCAATACAGCGACCGCGACACTGTCAGACACACCAAGATGAGCAGGAACAGCGCGCGAACTGTAAATCCCCAATAATTCAAGTTCTTTCTCGACATCCCTTGGGAGGAAATCGCGGCTGATCCCGAAGCTCTATTCGCAGCCCGTTGTGCTACGGACCTCTCATGGGTCACCGGAATGATCCTCGAATGGGGGATATACCTGACGAAGTGATTCCAAGCTATTGATCTCGCTCAGGCATCCGATTCCCAGTTCTATGCTCTAGGTGGCATGGGGGAGATAGGGAGGGGCTTGGCGTCTGTTTTGTGCGCCACATTCGGTCGAGCCGACGTGAGTCGGTATGCGAGAATACTGATTACAGTGTGAGCAGGTCGCGAGGCTTCTGTCGCCCGTTTCGAATCTCGAATTATATGCAGCCTCGAAAAACAGGGTCGGTGCGGTCGGTACGGCTTGAATGAAAGAGATGACGTCGCTCGCCGCTCGGGAGCAGACAGTCCCCCGGACTGAGGAAACCGAGTTCGCCCCGAATAAACACCTCGCTGCAAAAACTCTCCATTCGAAGTCGTGGCTGCCCGACCCAGCGACTCCCGGATCAGCATCATCCGGCCAATTATCATGGTCCAAAGCGGGCGGATTCTCATCTAGCGGGCTCTCTGAGGAGGGATTCCGTGAGTTGCAAGCGTGAGATTTGATTGTCCTGGTAGCTCTCCAGTCCATAGCTGGATCACCTCGGAGTTCCCGTGCTCAAACGGAATAATCTGATTGGTCGGACTGGTCGGATAGATCGCTGTTGCTCTTTGGACTCAGCTCTTGCCTGAGTCGATTTTCGCGCATCGATCGCAGTGTCTGATTGTCCAGCGGGACGCGATTATTGCAGTTCCGATTCCAGTCTCTTTGTGAGACTGTCCGTAGCACGGCTCTTCCTGGTCCGGCTCTTGGCTACTCCGCTCCCGGGATCCCGGAATGAAATCGATCTGATGATAACTACTCAGGATACAATTTCATGTGCTTTGCGTTCTCGGACTCCGCCTCACGGACCCGAGAGCGATTTTGGATCAGCGATTCAAGCTCGCACCAGTGGCGTGGCGGTGATGACCCTGAACAGCAAGATATTGAATCTCAGATCGAAGTGCGTAGTCCTGGAGCGATTTCAGGAACTACGAATTCAAACCTCCGAATCAACATTGAAGCCTAGACTATTATGTTCGACCATGATCAACCATTCCTTTTGACGAGGCGGGACTCTGACGTTTATGCGGAACCTGGAATTCATTCCGTTTCCGGATGCTCCGTCTCGTATCTCAGATATTGAGATAATGAAACTCGAGGAGGACTCGGTACGAGAGATTGATCCATTTTCAAAACGCCAAGGCGTAGCGGCAGGATAGGCGCATCGGCGAAAGATTCTGCGCAGCACCCGAAACACGACTCTAGAGACAATAACACGTCGCGGGTCCTCTCGCTGTTGGAACCCTCTCGGGGTTTTTCCTCCACAGCGGACGAAATTTGTTCAAGTATATCAATTTCGATGTGACGACGTGAACCGCCGCTCGCAGCCAGGCTCCCTGTCACGCGCGGCGAGTCTTTCGACGAGCAACGAGAATCGCAATAGCAGCATTCGGCATTCGATGAGATCCACTGTGGGACTCTCTCGACGATCCCTGCGAGAGAATCCATTGGATTTCTCAGAGTCTCGAATGGCCAAATTCATGAAAACGGATTATGTTCCCCAGTCGACCAGCTCGGATCTGATGGAAATTGACTGTCTCGAGCGTTCGATTGCCCTCATAACTTTGGACGCAGCAGAGGCTCGAATCGTGAGTAGAGAAAAGGGAACCGAGCCTAGCTCCGCTTCGGTGGTCTACAGAAATACATCAATCTTGCACAAAAACCACGGCAAGCAGATTCAATCCAGGAGAAGAATCGTGGGGCCGACCATTGCGGGAGATTCACTCGCAAATGATTGCTTCTGCCGTCCAATGTTCTTCAACGTGAAGCCAATGCGCTCAGATCCGATTTTCCGAAACCAATAAAGTTGACCGCAAAAGTTCCCCTACGCCCTCTGCAGGACGACTGCTTGGGAGGGTCTCGAGAGAGTATTTCTCCCCCTCGACGTGGTCTCATCCAGACTTGGTTCCCCTAAGTGGAAGAATTTGTTTGCCAACTAAACCCTAGTCTCAAGCGCTCAAGCCTCCCAGACAGCCACAATTTCCCGGAAGATCTCGTTCCTCCCATTCGGAGCCGCAATCTTGGGAAAATCCTTGGAAGCAGTCCTTGAAAAACGACCCCCTGAGGACATAGCGGTGTATGTCTGAACCTGGATCCTGCGAACTTACCCATTCACGTCGACGAGTGTCGGCAGCTTGCTCTGATATTCTGCGCGGAGAAAACCCTCCCGACGCGGGATCCCACACCTGTTTTACGATGCGACCGGAACATATCTACACCAGATCTTATCTCAGTCAGAGGCTCCTGACTGAGCGGTTCGATTCGGGGACGAGGCAGTGGGGTCTATCAGGTGCGTGGGGGGGCAACTTTTCCCACGCGCACCTCATGCGGTTCGACATTGAAATTATGATCCCTGCCACATCGAGCCAGGGAGCCGTACCTCGGTCAGAGTGTTGCGAGTCTTGGGATAGTTCTTCCTACGCCCCGATCGCAGAAGGGAAGCCTGGGTTCCGGAGCCGAAGGACCACAAATGAGTCCTCCTGGAATCATTGAATTCATGGAGCTGTCTTTGTTCGCCAGTACTCCCTACTTTCAGATAGACCACGGAGGCTGGACGTTCTGGGATTCAGTCCCGCGGAGACAAATTCCCGTGCCCCGAACCCCTCGATAATAATCGGTGAATTGCGAAAAGAAAATTCCTCCGTTTAATGTACTCCCTCGGCTGTTTTATTCCTTTTCTTTGAACTGAGCTCTTACGGCGAGCTCCCATATTCATCATCGATGGCAGAGGGCTTCGCCAACACGAGATATATACACGGTCCAAGTCAGGTTTTCTTTTCTAATCATAACTTCCTAATAATCGTCGTGGAGGCGGTTGCCGGTACACCGAGGCAGATTGGAATTCTGAACTTTTCAGCGGATTAAGATCTTTCAGTTACTGATATTTCGAAGGAAATGGTGAGGCAGACCTTGAGTGTTTAGGATATTTTTCTCCTAATCGATAAACGTACGGAGTTCCGGCGTACATTCGACAGCGGGCTGCTCAGCGGAATCTACAGTCTAATCGTCTTCATCCCGATCTCCGTTAGCTCTCTCGCGGGAGTCTTCTCTCTCCCTGGACACACTCCTCTCTCTGGAGGCGCTCCTGTCGTCTTTGGACGAACTCCTGACCCGAGGACTGCGGCTTCGACTTCCATCTCGAGGTCTCGGAGAATCGCTGCGAGATCGTGAGCGGTCACTCCGGCGAGGGCTGGCTTTCTCCCTGGATGCGCTCCGCCGGGAACCGTTTTTCCGTTCCGGAGACTCCCTCGCCGGGGAGCGACTACGACTTCGAGAGCCGGACCGAGCCCTTTCCACCGAGCGGTTTCGGGAGCCAGATCGGGACCGGGATTTCGATCTAGAGCCGGAGCGCGCTCTCTTGCGCGGCGGAGTTGCTGATCGAGAAGCTGAGCGTCGACCCCTGCAGGATAAATCGCGCGTATTAGGAAAAATTCTTCCGAATGATCATTAATTGGTTGTGATCGGGAATAGGAAGTTTTTTTTTTCGGATTTTCGGATTGGATGAATGATATGTGAGACATGAGCTAGCTCACCCGGATCGGCTACGGCTCCTTTTCGATTTGGACCTGGACCGAGAGCGACTTCTGCGGTCCTCGTGCACCTCCATCTTCCGACCATTGACTTCGTGTCCGTCGTACTTCTGTATGGCGCGTTTCATGTCTGATCTTGTGGCGAATTCGATGACCCTGAAATCAACGGAAATCCTCATACCGGCTCAACTTCACGAGAGAGTCCCGCGCTCCAAAATTCCCGGCGAAAACGACCGATACTTACGCTTCGTTCTTGCGATGTTTGTGTGCATCAGCGTAGCAGACTTCACAGCCGACCTTGCGCATCATGTCCTTCAGGTCCTGACAGCGAGAAAAAAATGCGTGAGTTCATCCCGGACACTAACTCATTCGAAAGTGTTCTTTCCTTGGCTGTGGTGGCGCTCAGCTCAAATCATTTTGTGTCTACCATAAAATCGACATAAGAGACGTATGAGGATCGTGTTTTCACGTATGTAGTCTTCTGTGCTGGGGTGATCCATGACAGAGTTACCTTTCCCTTGTGGGAAGACACAACATTTGAGCAATGGAGACGAGCCCGTGCGCTCGCTAGCTGGATTGTATCACTCAACGAAGTGTTCTTCACCTCGACACAAGCTACTGATCGATTTGTCTGCCCGAATCATCGCCTCATCGCTACATTGCCAGTGCCAATGCTTCATCGGGAAATGCTATGATCATCATCATCGTCATCATCATTGATTCATTGAGACCACGCGACACCGTCGTCGTCATCATCATCATCATGATCATCATCATCACTGATTGAGGTTGTCATTTGGAGGTGGATGGTTGACAGAGACGGGAAGCAAACAAACTCTTGGTTAACCAACCGACCATGAACATAATTATCAGATACGATTCCCCGTATCGGACCCAATCCTCATGACTCTGACGAATTCATCGATAAGCGATTCCCACAGAAAAAATTGAACAGGTCAAGCCTGAGATTTTTGCTCTGCAATCGGGAATTCGGCAAGAGAATCGAATGATACTTAACGAGTATTCCTCTGAGCTTTCCGCCGCTTACCTGCCAGCTGACCCTCGTTGATAGGTTGCCAACGATGACCCGATAATCAGTTCTCTTAAAGGGTCCGTACTTGTCCATCCATCCCTTATCTGGAATTATAGATCCGTTTCAGCACTCCCCCTTCCTCAAACATTCCCACACTCAGTACATGTATATATATATATATATTATTAATTATTTAAATTTTGTATGTATCCTCACTATCAGGAGTCCACTTACCGCGCTGTCCCCTCATGGGGAGTCCGCCGCGACCTCTTTCAGTGCCTTTAGCCATCTCTACTACGATCCTGTCACCGAGAAGGTCTTTCCCGTTGAGCTCGTAGCATGCGTCTTCGGCATCCCGTGTGTCTTCAAATTCCTGGAGAATTTAAGTGAGCCTGATATACATCCTCATAGAATTTTCAAGGTTCGCCGCTCCGAGCCCTTTTTCCATAGGACTCAAATAGCCATATTCTTGATCCGGATTGAGGAGCTTACGACAAACGCGAAGCCGGACTTCAGAAGTATTTCGCGAATTCTTCCGTAGGGTGAGAATAGGCGCTCCAAATCGCGCTCACGTGTTCGATGCGATAGGCGGCCTACGTACAAACGACCTTCGTTGCTCCTACCCATACTCTGAAATACAAATTGAACTGAAGCATTCCCTCTGATGACGGTCAGGTTTTATTCTTGGCGGAAACTTCCAGTCGCAGCTGGCGTTCATGATTTCACGACCGAAGACGCTCTCTTTTCGCTTATGACTTCGCGCCATCCGAATTGTTACGCCGCCTAGGCTACTTCAAGCCGACACATGAGGAATCTGGTAGTAATCATAACAAGGACTTTGCGGAGGCGAAACAATTGCATCGGAGCCGCCCTTTCTGAAGGGAGCGGCGAGCGATCTCCGAAGCCGGCTTTCTGCGGGAATTGTATGTCGCGGGCGGAGAGAAGTCTACGGCTCTATATGCGAATGGCGGACGTTTGTCTTACCTCGAATTCAAAAAATAGAGTGGCAACTGCTGGCTAAGGGTGATGTCAAATGGATGTACAGATACGGGACCAAAGCGAAAACTGCTTCCCGGTAGCACGCGTCTTGCTTCTAACGCACGGAGAACAACGACTCGCTGATGCTCAGAGAGCTCGAAGTTGAAAATCCAATATGGCCTCCGGTGCGGCTCTTCTACTGGAGCTAATGGCGCCAATTTCGAACGAAAACTGTCAGTAAGAGCTCTACACACTTCTAGTAGCTGAAGTTTGATTGTGCCTGCTCCTCGGCTACCGGGGTCGGCGACCCGCTCGGAGTTCTTGGAATATTCAACCCCGGCTCCGCTGGATATACGCGGGCTCAGAGTGTCATCAGCAAGGCATCAATGCTCTTCGGCGACTCGTTGCAAGAATCTCTCTTCATCGAGAACGAAAACATAACAAAGATGTCTGCCCCCTGAGATTCCAAGGTGACTGCATTCTTTCTAACAGGTTCGTTTGATCATTGCCTGATGACTCCCGTCTCGATCGCGGAACGGGTTTAGAACTCTGAGGGAGAGACAGCTAGTGAACGCCCTTTGAGGAACATCGGTGCGGCCAGCGATGCCGACGATCACAAAATCGAAGGTTCCGCTGTGCCGAGATCGGAGGACAACAGTGAGCATGTTCGTTGATGTCCTCGAAGGGACACCGGCACGGGGTAAGATCGAGGGGTCACACGCTTAACCCACGAAGCCTTTGGCTTCTATATTCGACCGTTACGAGCTTTCCACGACAGACTCCGATTCGTGCAGACGATCGCTTCGATGATCCGCGCCCCGTGGTTAATTCGATCGAATACGGTCCAAGAGATTGTTAGAGGGGATTACGGCGGGGGTCCCTGCTTTCGGCCAAGAGCAATCTGAATTCCAGAACATCCCGAGGGGTTCGAAACCACTGTTCGAGAAGCAGCGTTCATCGGGGCGCTCGCAAGCCGGCTCCTTCACGAACCCTGAGTGTTCTGCAGCGGACTCACCCGCGCGATAGAGACATCGGTTATCTCACTTTCGACTGATAGCTCTCGAGGTGCGGCGGAAGATCAGAATCGTGAGAGTCGAGAACACGAAGCCGCTGCGGAATTCCAGAGTAGCGCCTTCCCTACTCCTAGAAGCCCATTTAGGCGGATATCGGGTTTTGGGCTCCGTCAAGACGAGTTGAAGCTTGAACCGGTTTCGTTCTCTAGCGGTCTTTTCTTTGAAACTGAAGCGCAGCCTTACGTACAATAATGTCCCTGTACAATTGCAGTCGGTACGTCGCATCTAAAAACGTAGGGGCCTCGGGTAAGATGGAGCCCCTCGAGGCTCCCGGGGTCATCACGATCGAGTGGGAGATGCTCGACAAACCTCGTTTCGTGACCTTCTCTGTTTTTAACTCGCTCATCCTTAGATGCCTCGTGTATCCTCTGACCGTGGTGAAGACCCGGCTCCAGGTGAGATTGCATTCTAATGTCAATTCAGAACGTACGGTCAACGTAGTAGACCATTTATGTGTGGAGCTTGGTTTCGGGCCGGCCCTCCGTGCAGAACTGACTCGAGGACTCTTCTCGAATTGCAGGTCCAGTCAGCCTATAATTACAATGGAACTTGTGATGCCCTCAGTAAAATTCTAAAGGTTGAGGGATTCAAGTCTCTTTATAGAGGCTTCTGGATAAATTCTATGCAAATTTTTTCGGGCATTGGGTAAGTGATCGCTCGTTCTCCTGAGCCGCGTGATCTCACGCTGTGTCAACTGTGTCTTGTTTATCGATTGGACCCTGGAAAGGAACGGCTCAAGAACCAGGCACCGTTTTTCAGCTACATCATCACCTACGAAAAAGTGAGGGACTCATTGCACCAGCGTGGAGTCTCGGACCTGCGTGTCAAGGGCCTAATCGGAGGTGGCGTCAGCTCATTAGTCGGTCAAACGCTCATCACCCCTTTCGACGTCGTGTCTCAACACATTATGGTATTGGGTAGAAACGGTATCAATCCCTTGAACCTTCCAGCGGATGTTCTGCAGTCTCGTTTGCGCACTTTCAGCCGAGTGTGTTCGGAAGTATATCGCCGAGATGGCCCGATAGGATTTTACAGAGGTTATTTCGCATCTCTGATTGCTTATGTGCCAGGAAGTGCCTTTTGGTGGGCTTTCTATCCCGTATATCAAGAAGCTTTAATTTCTCTTTCCCCTCCGTGGACGCCTCTGCTCGCGGTGCAATGCATGGCGGGCCCCTTGAGCGGCGTCACTACCTGCGTTTTTACAAATCCTGCTGATATTGTGAGAGCCCGAATCCAAGTGCAGCGGCTAGATTCGTGGACGAGAGCTTTGCGATACGTGTGGCGAACCGAGGGTCTCCGCATATTTACGATTGGTCTCTCCGCTCGCATGCTTCAGAGCTCGATAAGCTCGTTCCTCCTTGTTTCGGGCTACGAGTCGCTCAAAAGATTGTCTGTGAGTGAGGAATACAAACATCGGATCAGGTGGTAGGGAGGCGGACCCGTACTGTTCGAAAATGTGGCGTCGATGTCGAGACCATTCCCCGCATTATGACGCACCTGAGCTTTTTCACATTGACGGAATGGCCAGAAGACAGGACATCACCGAAGGGAGGTGACGGTAATCTCATGAGGAAGTCCAGGAGACTGCTGGATCAATGAGAAAAGGCAACCCGAAGGATCTGCTGAGAAATCGCCCCTGAAAGAGGGTCTCATTGCTATATTTGTCTATCGTGCATGGGAAGATCAATGTTGCCTCTACCGAGTCACAGGGGAGGTCTAACCAGTATGTGTCGAGCTCCGGTGAGAATGTGATTTTCGGCCGTCGCTGTAATACATAGATTCACCAAACTGACAGAGACGCCAGGCTGAAGGAGTACCGGGGGAATGCATATGAAACCGGAAATTCGGGAAGGTCATCTGCCCTGTAATTGATTGTTCGGTATCATGTTCATGTACTCAGTACAACAGACGGGGACTCGATATGCGGAAGGTGAGAGCAGAGGACGGGGTGTAGCACGGACGGTCGCTGGCCCCGCTTTTCAGAATCCCAGACATACTGTCGGGGGTCAATGAATGACTCTGACTCGTTCCGACTCTGCAAAGTCCACCCTCCTAAACCACAGAATCCTTGAGTGTTGTCTGGCCGGCAGCCCTGAAATCCTGGGACCCCGTCTCTTCGAACTTGTTATTGTAAATTATATGTAAAAAAAGAAACTATAATTGTTCTCAATTTTTAGTCCGTCGCGAGTTCACACAACCGCGTGTAATAAACAAGGATGTTTCATTCAACAAATTAAAGCCATCAAGTGCTGTCCTTCGCTAGACTAAATGGCTCTGCGCCTCGCATTAGCTCATTCTCAATTGAAAATTATACTCATGTACGACATACGGGCGGAGAAATCTCAATCGGATGGGGGGAATGAGAGAACCTCTGGGATCGACCATCGGCGATGGAGCGTGGTCGAGCAGCCCACGAAGCGCGGAGATCGGACCTTCGCAACCCGGCTTTCAGCAGGGCAATCGACGAACGAGAACTTCATGCTCGCAGAGTAAGCCGAGTGAGGACGCAACCCACAACTCCGTCTGGATGGTACGAGGGATGTCTGAGAATCGCCAGAACTCGGAGGCCAACTACTGTTCTCATCTGCTTTCGGTGAATCTCAGTGATTGAGCTCCTTCGTTTTCAGAGAGCTCGCCACGCGCTGATGTTTTAGGAGCAAAGGTGCGTTCATGAAAGCACCTCAAGTTCCTCGGGATTCGCGGGGCGGTGAGGGAGGAACTATCATGTTTGAGATATCCCGTAGCTGTGTTGCTCGAATAAAGGCTCCCTAATGCATGTACGCTTCCCCCCCCATGGATACCCTCCAGCATGCTTACGCGTACATCCTCTTGCTCAGACTCCTTCGTCGAAATGGAAGTCCTCGTCCTAATATGATCGAGTCTCTCACCTGCCGATGATCGCGCAATCCTTAATGCGACCGAATCCCATTCTAGCACGACTCGGAGCCTGCTTTGCGGCTTACAATAAGTGAGCGTCCGAAAGTAAGGCCGGGGTGACCGCCCGATGCCACAACAGCTCTCCCCAAAGATCATCGACATCATCGTATCCACTCTCCCATCGATAGATTCAACTTCTATTTAATCTCTAGCCCCGCACTCCTCCACCGCATTCGCTGAAGAATTGAAGGACGCTGAAATCGTCAGTGTCCCAAGCTTGCAGCTGCAAGAACAAAAATAAGATTCACAGCCAACAAATCTGAGAACACGACTTTTCGTGTCCTGCGGTGTGTGGTGATCGTCTTCTTCACTCACCCACTGTGTGTGTGTGAGAGTGCGGTGTGCAGTGGTGTAGGCCTAGAAGTTGAAATTAGAAATTCCGAGGAGACAGTCAGCAGCTTCTTCGGGTCTCGCAATCACACCGATACAGTTTAGTTCATCATGGCCGACAACACGTTGTATGAATTGTTGGGTGTACCGCGAAACGTCTCCGACAACGAACTGAAGAAGGTGGGTGCGCAGCCGAGAGGAAATCTAATAATGCACTGTAATGCACGTCGACTTAGGCTGCCCTGTTCCGCGACGTCTTCATTTTCCCTAAGAGCATCGCTGAATTGTTCCGTCGCCGGTTCCGTGTGAGCTTGTTCTCCTGCAGTCGGAGCCGCAGGAGGGTCGTGCGGATAGCGTTTTGGAAGAGCTTCAGAACTCGGAGCTAGCTGCGCTCGATGCCTTCCGATTGTCAGAAGAATCATCATCTCTCGCTGAAAGGCATTTCCCGGCACCGGCAATATCCCGGCTCCCGATGACCGGTCTCTTGAACGACTTGATTCCCTCTCGCGACCTGACCGAAGGAAGCTTTTATGCGAGACGGCGTCTTCGCCTGCTCGGAAGGGCTGTATAGCTAGCTTCGGTTCACGCACCCCCTCTACAGGATGCCAGGAAACCAGCTTTGGAGTTTGCAATTTCTGATGCAAGCTCCGGGTTTCGAGATGCTCGCTTCATCGGAGAATGCTATTCGTCCTTGGTTCTCGACTCGATGCATCTCCGTAATCTTCAGTTCAGTCAGTGCATCATTTTCACAATTTCGAATCGCATCAAATGTTCTTCTCTCTCCCACTCGCTCAGTGCTTAGCATCGGACGAACGAAATGCTTCCGTTGTACTCATATCGAGACACGCTAGTCCCTACCGCGAATCCGCTTAGGTACTCGGAACATCTCTAAGAGAACTCGGTGTACGGAACCTTTCCGCCGGAGAGAGGCTCCTGATCGCGATACTGCTTGTTTATCAACTTTCGGGGCGGTCAATTCCGGGAGCCGTCATCAGATTGGATTCTCCGACTTCAGTCGCGGCGTTGCCTGATCGCCGAATTTCAATGTTTCCTTCTTTCGCAGGCTTATCGCAAACTAGCCAAAGAATTTCATCCTGATAAGAACCCCCAAGCTGGTGATAAATTCAAAGAGATCGCTTTCGCCTACGAAGTCCTTTCGAATCCTGAGAAGAGAAGCATCTACGACAGACATGGCATACAAGGTGAGAAATTTCCGACTTATCTTCGAATAATGGCTCGCTCCGACGGGTGGATTCTGATCATAAGAAATTCGGAGGCTCCCGCCGAACATTTACTCAGAGACCGATCACATCCTCCCCAGGTCTCCAGGGAAGCGGCGGCTCCGGGATGGACGGTGAAGACCTTTTGTCACGCATATTCGGTGGGGGTATGCCCGGCTTCGGAGGTCTATTTGGTGGTTTCGGCGGTGGTCATCGACGCCGACCCAAGAACGAAACCCAACTCTTGAGTCTAAATATCACGCTCGAAGACGTCTACATGGGCAAGACATTCCAAGTGGAGGTTGAACGACGCATCATCTGCCCCAAGTGCGACGGTGCAGGAGGGAAAGCTGGCTGTTTCTCCACCTGCTCGTCTTGCCAAGGCCGAGGGCGAAAAGTGACGTTGCGCCCGCTTGCCGCGAACGTGATGCAACAAGTCACTCTACCATGCAACGACTGCCATGGCTCAGGAGAGAAAATCAATGAGAAAGACGCTTGCTCCAACTGCAAAGGTAAATTCTCCAACGAAATTAACCCTACGGACAACACTCACTCAATCACTGATCTCACATCTCTGACAATGTCTACGTCCATTCCGATCAGGTCGCAAAACCATCAATCAGAAGACGAACTTGGATGTCGACGTCGATCGGGGAATGAACACCCAGCAACCGATTGTGCTCGCCGGCAAAGGGGATCAGAGCACCGATGCTGAAAACGGAGATATCGTTGTGCGACTGATTCTTGAGAAGCACGAAACCTTTGTGCGTCAAGAGAACGACTTGTATGTTGAGAAAACAATTTCTTTAACCGAAGCCCTTTGCGGTTTCCAAATGAATATCCGCCAACTCGACGGTCGAACTCTCTTGATCACTCAACCCCCTGGCGAAGTCATAGCTCCTGATAGCCTCAAAGGCATCCGGGGCGAAGGAATGCCTATATATAGAGGGGATTCCAAGGGTTGTATGTACATCAAATTCAGCGTGGCTTTCCCGGAGAATGCATTCATGCAGCAGGCGAACCTCGCGGTGAGTTTCTCCGAATACAACATCTCTAATACTCATATTCAGAGGACCTTTGCCACCTCATCATTCCGGAAAAGCTCGAAATATATGTCTCTACATTTTCGCGATATCTTTGCAGCAAATCGAAGCATTGTTGAACGACCGTCCCCCTCGAGAAAAGTTGCCGCAAGAGTTCGAGGACGTTACCCTCGAAGACTTCACGTCTACCGATCGAGGCGAGTTCAGCGGGGAGCGCAGAGAAGCTTACGAGGACGAAGATGAGGACGATCATCGTCAGCCACAGTGCGCCTCTCAGTGAGCGACAAGTGATGCCCCACCGACAACAGTTATTTAGAAAGAAGACGGAAGTGTTCAGAAGAACAATATTTATCGACTTCTGAGAACATCATCAACTATGTTTGGTAATAAATCAATCGGAGATTCCTTCATTGTAACGGTAACTGCGGGACGGAGAAGAGAAAACTCTTGGATGTCATGAACCTCTGCGCGCTTCAAAACGTCACCAGACACGATGATTCATCGGCGCAGTTTGTAGAAACAATTTTTGTGCGAGGCAGCAAGACATGTAAAAGGATAACTTTGACTAGACGATGTACAGAATCGCTATGGTGATATACCAGAGTGTGATAGGGCCCCGCTGAGATTTATCTTCAATAGGATAGTCGATCAAAAAAGAAAGCTTCGAACTGTTGCTGTCAAACTCTCCATACTATAGTTACCAAAAATGAACACTGGTGATCCGAGGCTCCGATAGGAATAAATCAAATTTCGGTTGACGACAAAGCATTACTCCCTCTTCGATCTGAGCCATTCACTATATTTTCTAAGAAGAATAAGTTCGTATTGAGGACATGGATCGGCGGAATAGTAAATTCTTCGCGAGCCCGAACAAGTGGAGCCTCTCAACTTTGATCTACGGTGGAAACTGACCTATGGAATCACCGTACACATAGACCACCTGAGTGATCGGACCGTATTCCCCGCGAACCGTTCGCCGTCGAGGCCTATGGTATACTGGACGCGTGATCGGACCACCTGGGTTATCGGACCGAATTTCAATGGCCACGCGCGTGGTCCGATTGGAGAGCTTTCACTGTAAATTGTAAATGCATACTCATTCAGCATATATGAATGAAGGGAATCGGTACCCATGGGATCACCGCGGAGTCCCCACGGGAACAAACCGCCTGCCGCATTCGGAACAGCGATTTCTCGCTTGAGTCGACCCCCGCCTTTCCGAGGTAGATGCGAATCCTTGATGCGCTGATCGATATTCCGCCGATCGACATCAGGGTTCGGCAAACTTCATGAGTCCGCGTTGCCCCGTGGTTACCCTGGCAGAGATATTTTTCTATTCATGCGACATGTCACGACTTCAACAAGACCACCGCAAAATCTCCGCCGAAAAGGCCGCGAAGTCCTGTAATCATACAGCTACGTCGGGGGGCTCGAAGGGGCTTGATTTGTTTATTCCTTGAAGTCCGCTGACCTCCGTTCTGCTGACTGCTGGTCTAGACGGCCTGATTGGAGAATTCGCCGACGTCTCTTCGTCCACCGACTTCCGAAGTTCCGCGCTCGAATTCTCCGTCAGGTACGAGGACGATACGAGCGAAGATATCCGACTTTGAGCCATTGTCCAGCGCTATCTCCTCGCAAAGTGCTTCCCTCATTCTGTCTCCTATCCCCGAGTCTGACTTAAACTACGTCCGGCCACCCGATGCAGAATACCGACACGAGACGGATACTCTTCGCAAGCAGCATACGTCGTGCCGCCTGCGCGTCTCAAACTGAGGCGGTTACAGGCCCCAAGAGACATGTCAACGGGCGCCAGGATCGATTCTCGATTGACTTGTTCATTCAATTTCGAGCCCTTGAGCCCTATGGAGCTGAGCTCGAGCAAGCCTAATGTGCGGCCTCCCTCGAAAGAGACCTCCGCGCCGAATATCTCCAATACTGATCACATTCTTCGGCAGCGATGATCCCCTACGAAGGATTTCTTGCTCGTCACCGAGGACCGCTTAACTCTAAGGGTATGTCGTCCAACTCGCCTCCCGATACCTCAACGACTATCCACAGGAAGAACTCATTCAAATGGCTCCCCCGGGATCCCGCTGGATCCCGTCGCTGTCCGAATTCTCATTCAGCCTCCGGACAAAGTCCCGCAGCGGCCTGAAGCTCAAGCTTCGCTCGCATTGACGAGGTCTTGGGAGTAAAGTTCTTTTTCCTCAGACTCTCACCCTAATGGAATGAAGAACACGACAAAGCTTTCAAGAAAGAGTTTCGAAGGGCGCTCTCAGGCCTCATTAATGACTCTGAGAAGCAGAGTGGTGGGAGTTCCGGGTCTCCGGAGCTTATGAGGGTTTACCTGCGGACCGCGATGATCCTCCAAAATTCTATCTTCTGTTCTCTCTCTTCGTAAAGTCTGAGATCTGTCTACTTTAGTGAGATTCCCACGGGGCTCTCGATCGGATTAGGCAATTCACAGATTACATTGAGAATTCCAGATCAGCCGTGGAATAGAGCCGTCGAGCATTCGGAGGTTGCAAGGAATACTAGGAAGTCTAACGACGACGTCGAGGATTGCTTCGCGAACGCGCCCACGTCCCTTATTGAATGCTCGCAGCGAGAGAACTTTTCCGCGAGCAGGGATGCATCTTCAAACACGATGATATAGTAAGTGACTTATGATCGGCGCTCCTCACGAACCAGGCTGCTCCGCCATTGACGTGTCTATACTAAGCATAAATGAGCGAATGTTCAATCGCGCTCCCTTACCAAATTGGGCTCCTGACCATCAGTCCATCCCGGCTGTCCCAGGCAACAGATTCATTGAGGAAGGTTCTCATGACGTGTCGCTGGCCTCGGAGTAACTGTGTGCTTTGATCAATCAGCGGAATGATATACGAGGGGAGTCGGAATAAAAACGGTCCAACATAAATCTTCGCTTTTCTGCACTTCGTTTCTTATGGCAGAAATCAGAGCAAATAACGTGGCAACGTCGAGGAGTCTCACACGGAGGTTCGGATCTGACCGACTGTCACAAGAACGGGTGGAGGTCTCAGAGAGAAAAGTTGTGGAGCTCACAGATTGAACTTAAAAGACCGAGTCCAGGAATTATTGCGAAAGATTCCGATCTATTCAGGCGAAACTGCGGGGATCATGGACTGCACCCAGTGAGAGATTTCTCGATATGCGACACGATGGGAACTCTGTGGGCTCACGTTCATATTCTCTCGGCGCATTCGTAGGGTACGCAAAAGGCCATGCCCTGAAAATACCTTCCGGTGGGTCCCTGGTGGATCCAAGGTGCCTGAAAGATTCTATTCCGGAAGCTGACGCGAGAGACGTCAATGGAAACACGGCGCGAGAATGTGATCAGTGATCGGAGAACCCGGTTTCCGTCAAACTCCCGCAGCTCCTTCGCTATTGTTGGTTCCGCAAGTCTAGTCCGGAGTTGGCCCCGAACGGGGAACATCGTTCGCAGTGGTATCTACGACCTACCACGATGAGCACCCCTTGATCTACGAGAGACTTCGATGGCCGACTCGCGCCCAGTAAGCAGTAGGGTTCATCGATGCCCGTCTCTCCGGGAGCTGCCCAAATATTCGAACAACGTCATCAACCGCTATTCACGCCTGATTTTTCTGGTATCCCCGCCAGACACACCGTTGAGAATATCTCGTTTTTCGTCGTCATTCCCCCTAGGTCTTCGAAAGGCCTAGAAGGCCTGAAATCCGAATTTGGGCTGGTGCCCCGCGGACTGACTCAGGCCCTATGCCATCGGCGAACGCATCCGCGAATCGCTAGGGAGCGAGGAGCCATTTTTCGGAGGGAAAACGAAGGTTTGAGAGAAAACTCGTCTCGTGAAATTGTTCGATTACGACTCTGGTGAGTGCTCTGAAGCTTCCAACATCGAACACGGAGCCACTTTTGCGCTCACCCACTAATGCACTCTTGGAGCTTACGCACCATGTTTAATACCGAGCAAAAAAAAGTTCGAGATTCGCATCGAGGGTAAGTTGCATCGACCGAAGCAAGTTCCGAGAGCCTCGCGAAGAAAATCCGAGAAGGAGACGGCGCTCGGACAACGACCCCGAGGAGACAAGTGAACGGAGCGCTGGGATCCGGAAGGTGTTAAGATGGAGGAACACATCCGATAGAATGCAGCTCCTCCTTGTAATTAATCGCGGCCGCGAAAGCTCCACGCGGATGCATCGAGTGAAAGATTGCGGGGACACTCGATAGACGAAAGCCAGGGATGCCTGCCTAGGGCAGCGTAGAAATGATTCCCATACACGGAGCAGTTGCGTCAGTTCCAGAATTAGAGTATGCAATCTCTATTCGTGATGTACTATCAAAGAGGACGCGGTCTCGTCGCGGATGTTCGACCAAAATGCCGCGACGAAAAGGCGGATCTGATCAAAGGGGGCTTTCTTTTCTCGCTCCTTCGACCGGCTCGAACTTGTCGGAGCCCAAGCGCCTCGTGGTTCAGACTGTCCAGAGATGTTGGACTTCTCTTCCCACCTTCCGATGGAGCCGTGTGAGCCCCTCTCGATGCATTGGCATCCCCTTCGTATTCGAAATTCGAGAGTCTTGACGTTTGGAGGCTCTACAGAGAGCGATCAGTTGTCGAAATTGAGGTTGGGTTTTCGTGCTACGTGGGACAACGTCCCCGTGAACTTTCATCGCGGCGGACTCGTATCCGCGCCGAGATTGTCTCAGAGAGAACTCGTCAGCTGCCGAAAGAAAAAATTCATGATGCATACCTATGCATGTGCGTCTGTAAGCTTTAGGAGCTTGTGAAGAGTCGGAGCCTCCCGGGGAGCGTCAAGCTTCCCTTCGTCGCTCTCAGGTCAAATGAAAAAAGTGTCGTCCCTAGCGTGATGGAAGAGATCCCTTGTCACCCGTGGGAGGAACGCATTCGCAGAGACCTACGAAGTTTTGTTATCTTCCGTCGTTCCGTCCTCAGTAGCCAAATACTGCCTCACTACTCTCGTGCGTGGTAAAGTAAATATCCTAGGCGGGTCTCGATGTTTTCTTTCCGATTCCCGACTCGGTGACAAGTCGCGGGAATCATCCACGGCTCTAGCTTGTCAGGGACTCATATTGAGCTTCGAAATTTCGCCTCAGTGCTCCTCTCAGACCGCATCGATGTGCGGAGATAGATTCGAAGAGCTCGATGCGAACGCCTGAATAACGCTCCATTGTCGATAGTCGGGCGGGGCAGTTCGCGGTTCCTCTTTTTTCTGCTGCTCCTCTCCCAGGGGGACAATCGACTCAAGCGGGAGTGCTCGCTTGTCCGCTAGCTCGGTGGTATGGACGGGAGGACAGACAGACTCTGTTGATTGGAAGCTGCGAGAACCCAGTTGCACTGAAAGAACATCGTAAGCAAGCGAAGCAACGAGTGTGTACGCAGCCATAGAAAGAATGCGACAACAACAAGGCGGACGAAGCAAAACGCCCGACCCGGAGCTGGTCGAGCCTCGACTTGACTGAATTATTGCTTGGTATCCAGACGCTTCCTCTGGGAGCCTGGTGAATTCCTGTCGAATCGGAGTGCTGAGGGGATTAGTTCCGAGCGCGTGATTCGCTGAAATCATCGAGGGGAGTCTCGGGAGCCTGTTCGGCTCGCCAAGGGAGCAGGGGCGGGATCCCCCTCGAAATTACTTTTGTTTTCTCTGAATGACGTTCAAATGTGGTGATGTTGCGCGAGCCTTGCGCGACGAGCCCCAGCAGACCTCTAGGAGCCTTTCTCCTCTTTCCTCGGCTCTCGTAATTTTTCAAATGCCACGGAGAAGCTCAACAGCTTGAAAGCTCGCGAAAGGAAGCAATTGATGGCTTCGCTCGAGAAAAATGTTCTCCTCTGGAAGAATTGGTTTCCTTCCTATCGCTGCTGCTTGCTCATCGCAAGCCACTACGGCGATGTTGCTTCTTCCCGATCAGGACTGAGGGCTCGCCCCGGTTCCTCGCAGTCTGCAGTCATATAAAATTACTCGGTCGGATGATAACGAATCCGATACCACGGTTCGATTGGATTTATTCCTCTATAGCATTTGTTCATTTGAAGCTGTTTACAAAAATAAATTACACCTTAAATATCGAGACATAGCACAGGCAACGTCTTCCGGAGCCGCCCATCTTCCACTCTCCAGGAGTTTGGATGCTTTTGTACAAATTGAAAACGCGCTGAGAAACCCTCGCCACTCCGGCTTCGATCGCGATTCCAACATCACCGTGAATTTGTTGACTCACATTCCGCTTCAGTCCTAGACTAAAACTAGCATCACTATCAACGACGAGATGACCAGAGCAAGGTTGAGCGCAGACGAGGCGGCTGCGGAGCGCGTGAGAGCTTCTTCGTGTAGCTCGTGTACACCTTCCAGCAGCGCTCCCGCTTGAACATCGACGACTTTTCCGATGATATGGTCGTCGTCGACATTGTTAACATCCCGACGACTTTTCTCTCCTTGATGCGTTTGGCTGCTGTTCGCCGCTGCTCGAAGATAACTCTTGTTGGACTCTTTGCAGTCGAACCACCATTCTGCGGTGCTGCGAGGATACGCCGGGGAGCCTTGGTCGACCTGCAATCAGGGAAATAGGAATTTCAAAGGCTGGCTTCCTCTGCATTACTAGGCAAGACTCGCGGACGAGCGATTCGGTGACACCGAGCGAAAATTCGTGTGCTCGATTGATTAGGTAATATCCGGGGACGACTGGATTGGATTTCTCCTCGTTTTTCAATTCAGGTTTCTGGGAATTGCGAGCTGTCGAATATTGTCCACTCGGTCATGGGTCCGAGCTCTTCGAACTTGCGTGATGCGTGACGTAGAGAGAAACACTTACGGTGAAATCCTTGTCATTGAAACGGTAGTAGGTCTGATCTTTGAAGAAATAAGTGTATCCATTCTGCCATTGGAACGCGGCGTGGATGTTGGACGGGATGCCCTCCCAGACTACGGAAATTTCCTGTGGATACCGACTGCTGACTGGCACCTCGGCCCGGGAGTCGTATCTCCAGTACTTGTCGCCCTGCAAGATCGAGAAACGAGACTGAAAATCGGCATAATGGCGCGCTCCTGCGGTCTTCCATCGAGACGGTGACGCTCGATCGGAATCGCGGTTTTCCCTGCATACCTTGAAGAAGTAAGTTTTGCCGTTGCCGCTCCACACGAAAGCGGCGTCGATATCGTTGGGGATGCCAGCGAATCCGACGGAAATTTTTTGCGGGTATCCGGATGCCGCGACTTTATTCTTGAAGCGCCAGTAGAGACCACCTTTGAAGAAGAATGTTTTTCCGTCGGACCACGTCAGAGCGGCGTCGATGTTGTTTGGCACGCCCGCCCAGTCGTCTTGGATCTTCCGAGGATATCCAGAGGCGATGCCCTCCGCTTCCAATTTCCAGTACCACTGGCCGCGGAAAACGTATGTGGACTTGTCCTCGGTTCGGGTTATAGCGTCGATACGAGTGTCGGAGCACATATCCGGCTCGGCGAACTTGGGTCTCGACGTCACCGGTCTCCTCCGCTTAGGCTTGTCGGTCGTTTTGCTCGACGTCTTCTTGCCGTAGACTTTCTGGATTGCTATAATCGAAAGTGGATGAGAAGGGCGAACGATTATTCTTGGCTCGGAGCAGCTTGGGCTGCTCACTCTCTCCCCTAATTCTAAAAGCGTTCATTTTCTGTGCGAATTTTACCGTCGATATCGTCTTCGTCCAGTTTCGCATAAGGGTCGTAGCCTCGGTAGAAGGGCGCCATCAACGCGCTCCTGATGTCGCTGTGCGAGAGACCTAACGAGTGCCCGATCTCATGAGCCGCGACCTGCCATGACATCATAATGAATTATTCCCGTGCTTCCTCCATGAAACGGAATGCTCTCGAGACTCGCAAGAGGTCCCGCGACTTGTTGACTCTTGACTGCATGGTGATGATAATTCTATGTGGACTACGCTTTGGTGTGCACAACCGAAAGTCAAGGAAGCATTTGACTCACTTGGAACAAATTTATGCCTCCGTATTCTTCTATGGTCCATTTCTCCGAGTCATCGAAATGGATGTCTCCTCCGTACCGAGGGAAGAAGGCGTGCGCGAGAGTTCCCCCTGGAAAAAGGGAGATGACCGTTGTTGACCATGAACAGTTTCCCGGCAGCCGCTACATACTCGGCGATTCAGGCTGGATGCGGAGAGCCACGCGCATTTCTGGGGTCACCGTGAAGCCCGGAGCGCGAGATTCTAAGGGAAGAATTTATCCTTCACGATAGGTTGTCACATTCACCTGGACCACTGAATGGATCGCCGTCGCCGTGTTCTCCAGTGACGAAAGAGATTTCTATGTTGACCCGTCCTGTCTTCTTCAGCGTGAACGTTAGCGGTGTGTGATCACTCCAAACTTTGAACGCTTTCGCTAATTCTGCTTCGACCTTTGCCTGGCGGAGAGAGAGAGGAAATAATCAGCTACCCCAAATAAAAACAATGACCACAGAGCCTGCTTCCCAGAGCTTCCACCCTTGAAACTTTTATCGGCGGTTCGAAGGAAGAGATCCTCCAGAGAAGAATTCCGTGCCCTGGAGAGGAATCGATGGAGGATGGGCATTGGAAAAAAGTGAGTATGATAGGTTCGGTGCACGCCATTGATTGGGCAAAAAAACTTGGAAAACCCGGGGATTCTCCCACGCAGAACGTGCCGAACATCTAAGCTGCTGGAAACTCCTAGGGAAAAGTTCTGACAAGTCTCGGGGGCTCTCCCGTACACTGATCGAGCCGCAGTGCGATTGAGTTCTTTTTCCGGAAGACTCCACCTGTTTTCGCTCTTTCTTCGTCCGCGGCGAACATTGACGGGATTTCCCTTAGAGTCCCATTCAGCAGAGAAAAAACTCCATAGAATCGGTCTCTTCTGAACTCGGGAGAGATAGATGAGGGGCTGATGGATGACGAGTTCTCACCTTATTGGAAACGCTCCTCGGGTATTTAGATATCGTGTAGGTGAGATCCTTATTGACCCATTTCGTGCCTTGGAGAACGTAGCGTTTGGCTCTGAATCCATTTCCGACCATATCCTTCACGCCGCAACGAGGCATATTCATCATTTTGGCAGTTTCATCATCTATTTCACCTGTGGTGCGAACGGGATGAACCGTTTAAAATGAGAACCCCCAGTTTTCACGCATTGCAGAAACTACCGATGAGGCGGAGACATCCCGAGACATCCGACAGGTGTTCCGGTCGACTGGAAAATTTCGTGGGAAATCCCGCCGGATTTTTCGGCTCCTACCCTTTGCAAAAACATTCCGAAGGAGTAAATTGTAGTGAACAATCGTGCTTTCGCTGGCTGAGCAAGGAGGAGCTGTCTTGCTCGACGTGAAACTCATCTCACAGAATGAGTCCAATGATTCATTCTGTGGGATTCTGTTTTCGTTCATATCTTCAGACGCCGCGGCGGAACGACACCATGAGATGCTACAGAATTTTCAGAAGAAACTCAATAATTGTTGGGATGTCTCCCATCGCCAAGAACGGCGCCATCCCCTTGTCACGAATTCAAGGTGATCTTCGCAAATGAGAGCTGACAAGACATTCATTCTCGTTTAGTCTATTGAATTAAGCCCGCGTTACAAGAACCTGTGGTCCCCAGGGCAATAATTGTCGTCGCCGAACTTTAAGGTGAGCTAGGGACATTACCGAGATTAGAAAGACAGAAGAAGTTCGAGAAGAAGATTGCGTTGCCAACCGGATTCGAATTTTTATCTCGCCGGCCTTAGCTAGGTAGTTCTCGTCTTCCCTCCGTCCCGGTTGATTCCCGACGGTCCCACCGAGGCTACAAACTTCGAATTCTTCCTGCCCCCCCCCCTTGGAACGCATAAAGACTGAACCCGGGTTCCCTTCCCGACTTCCTCGATTTCCAGGCATCTGCTCGACTAGGTCGACAGACGCAAAGGATTGTCGAATACTCCCAGCCTCGATCGCCTCATCGGTCGATTCTGTCGAGAGGCGCGGGTGATCGCGTGGTGTATGCGTTACATGTGTTTGTGAATATCGAAGGTCATACTCTTTGTTCGTTTAATTTTGATTCATGGAATCTAGAGGAAAATATCGGTCGTTGAATTCACGTTTCGTGACGCTGAACAAAATTCACTTACCCGTAACGTTGACGCCGGCCATTCTCTGGAAATTTTCGACCGCGTGTCTCATGGCGCGTCCATCGATGAGTGCCGCGGTGGAACGATTGGAATCGTGGATCATCGGAGCCATGTATCCGAACTGTTGGAGGTAAAGCTGAAAGAAAAATAGTAATGTATGCCAAGCGGCAGGGATAGGAAATTATTTGCGTTGCGCGAATCTAGTATGAATAGATGCCTGGTCCTGAGAACGTCTTCGTCTGGAATTACGTCGCCCGTATTCCACGGTCGCCGATCGGAGGGATGTGAAGAAGGCGGATAACCACGACCACCACAAACTTAATTTGCATCAATGGCGACTCGATGCGCGCAAATGCGTTTTTGTCTGATCTGGAACGTGTGATGGCCTCTCGGATTCACCTCCCGCGCGTCATACTGACCAAATGGACAGTTGACGGCAGCGGGCGGGCCCAGTTGGGCTGGCGCTTGTCTGCTTTGCCGGCTCACTGGCTTGCTTGCGGATTGGCTTGCAAACTGGCGAACGCTACTCTACCCATTGTCGACCCCTTGTCCGTAAGAATTCTGGGTCAGTTTTTTTGCAGAAGCAAACGCCCTGCCGCTAACGGAAAGATCGGTGCTGCTGTGGATGGTGCCGGAGAAAATGGGAATGTGTCACAGCTTCAGCAGAAAAAGAGAGGAAAAGCCGAATCCCTGCCGCTGATGGCAGCCGAACGACTTTTCTCGGTCTAATGTGAGTGAGAGTATGAAATGAAAAGTCTCGAGTGCTGGCTTCCTTCTTCGGCCCGGTCCGTCCTCTTGTACCCTCGGAACAAAAACACCGTGGACTCCAAGAAGTACGAGAACACTCTCCGAATTCCTCCCCGGGTGCGGCGACATGGATCGCGCGAATTTCGAGCGGGAACTGACCAAGTTCTGGGGATAAAATCGATTCCTCCAAATGCGACGGAAACAATGCTCTATTTTCTTTGGCCGACAACTTGGAGTTGCCTGGTGAACGCGTGTCCTAGAGCTTCCCCCCTCGATCGCGGAATATCAGACTGTCTAGAATCAAATATAGAAAGTTCATTGAGCACGCAAGCCAATCCGGACGGAGGCTGGAGACGATGAATGGAGAGGGGGACCGTTTCGCTGGAAGCTTCAATCATGGCAACGCCTCGCTATGAGTGAGGTCGTCCGATTAGCAACTCGGGTGGTCGCTTTGATAAGTTCAACTGAAAGCCTAGTTCTAATTGAGAGACACTGACAACGCTTTCAGATTAAACGAAGCGGACAGGAAAAGCTGACGAAATTTTCTGGTACCCGCTCGCTTGCGCATTCGCGCTGTTCACAAATAGATAAGGAGCGGCTGATTCCAGCGATTCTGTGGTTTCCTCAAGATACCGAGCATCGTTGTGAATAGATCGTCGTTTTGGAATGATTCTCCTCGAGAACTGAATGGAATCAACTCCATTCTTCATCCGATCGTGTCTGAGATGAGGGAGGGAGCGCTTCCGAGTGAAACCTTTTCGACGCGCCGATTATTAACATCTTGCAAGCTCGACTGGACGCTCGGACTGATCGCGATGCCTCTATGTCGGCTCTCAAACATATGGATGGATCGTTCAAATCATGCAACGATTTCGGAATCGCTCTGGGGGGCGTAGAATTCCCCCGGTTCCTGCGAGGCATCGGAAAAAAAACTCGTGCGTAGAGTTCTAGCGGCTACAACAGGCGTGTCCTATGATCAATGAGCTGCCTGGAGACTCGAAATCGAATATTTTCTAAAACCGGAGCGTTCATATGGGCGAGGTCACGAGATTCAGGGAGCGCGATCCTGCCTGGGAATGCTCGCTGTACTTCCTCGGCCGAGTTCACACGCAAATTGTCTCAATTCAAACTCATCCAGTGTACTCTGTGTCGCAAGCGAACTTTCGACAGAGTCGTCTTCCCTCGGGTCGAGATCGTGGAACGATGAGGCCAATTTGCAAGCCCACGAGAGGAATGTTCCAAGTATTGCTCCCGATCGTTAGGGAAAGTAACGCCGACCAAGAATGCGTCTGCTTTCCGCGCGACGTACCTCGCGCTTCCCTTCCATCGACTCCGACATTTTTTTCTCGAATCGCTGCCTGTGCAACGGTCTATCCCGGCAGCATCTGGAACACGACTGTCCCCTATCACTCGGAGGAAATCCCCCAAAACAGCTTTCTAAGGAGAAAAAGTTATTTTTCATTTTTCAACAAATTCGAAACGACCAGTGTTCACCAACAGGGAGCTAGTCCGGTTGGTTGTTTCGAGTAAATGCTGATCCCGAAAGCGTTCGGGCTTCTGTTGGCGGAAGGCGGAACTGAATGTGCGGTGTCCGACAGTGTCGACAAAGCGCATCACAAACCAAGCATTGCGTATCTGAAGGTCTTGTTGAGTAATAGCGGTGACCGGCCGGAGAAACAACTGAATGTGCTCCACTATACAGAGACGGCGGACGTACTCAAAACGACCCGAACGGATCTCCCGGGTCACAGGTCCCTCTCTTTGATAATTCCATCGTTCCGCTGCATCGAAGCCGGTCATCCTTGACGGCGACGGTGGCGGCGAACACCACGGCCTCCGGTCTTGTTCTGATTCCCATTGACTACAGTCGTTTGCGTTTTCACTGCCAAGAGCAGTGGGATTTTTTCGGGCGACCATTCGCATCGCCGCCGAGGCGGTTGTGTCACATCATCTGGTTCTTGTTACTAAGAAACAGACGAACTGCAACTGGACAAATAGTGGATTTGCGGTTTATCGTGGGTCAGCTGAGTCTACGGTGACCACTCACAGAATAAACGCGACCCGAGACCACCTTGAAATGATTGTCGCGAGCAAAATATCAAGATCCATCGTGCTCGGTACCATCACGTCCCTAGATTTCACATGCGGCATTTTGAACTAGTCATCTCCGAGCGGCACTTTGGGATTCTCCTCGGTTTGTGTACATAACGGCAGCAAGCGCTAGACCGTCTTCGATGAGGTCATTCCCGTCGAATTCGCATCGGAAGAAATCCGTCGTGGGATTCACGACAGAAATCCTCGTCAGACCTGGATGTTGGGAAGCGGATTTAAACCGAAAACCAGGAAATACGACCAGCTCACGTATCTGCAGATGTTACTTTTAATCATCGTCTTTTTCTTTCCCCACAGAAAAAAGAGCAGAAAAAAAGCAATCGCTGATGGAAGCAAACAGCCGCTCACTCGACGGTCTCGTTCGGAATCTCGCAATCGCGTTCATGTTTCATGAAGCGATGTGCACCGAGTTTGCGCGGCGACGATGATAATAACATTGAGGGAACTAAGTACTCCGGACGCTTTCCTCGCAAAGGCATCGATGCGTGCGAGCTCAACTTCGGTTCTCCTACCGACTAGCCGCGACTGACTCACGACAGGAGCGTTCTCGTCACCGCGTTTGAAAAAAGATGGGGGAAAAACTTCGTGAATCGCAAAGGAAAATCACTGATAGGTGCTCGTCCGAAGCCAGTCCAAATCGAGACGCTTAATAGTCGACCTGGACGAGTGCCGGTGATCCGGCTACTAATATCGGTGGTGGATTTCGCCTATTCATTAGGAGTTTCGAGGAATATCCTTCTCTATTTCCCGGAGTCCAACAATGAATCACCACCATTAGGGAAAGTGGATCTGTTCTCGGCTTTCGTCCAAAACGCATGGACGCCGAGTTTTCGAAAAAGCAACACGAAAGCTCTGGATCGGAAGATCGGGTGAGTACTCGATGCTCACACAGAACGCTATTTGGTGGCTTTTCTAGCGTCGAAGGAGCGAGCCAGTGAGGCAACATAGTTGGTTCGATTCCAGACAGGGCGAATGATTTGGCAGTCAACCGGCACTCCGAGCGCTGTCGATGTCGGGTACATTCTGTTCAAGCGCTTTTCTTTTCTCACATTCTACAGAACTTTGCAACTTCTGCTCTATTTGAAGCCCGACACTTCAGAAGCGCAACGAGCTATGGCGGATCACGAGCGCCTCAGTTTCCTGAGTTCCCGATCGGGTATCGGAGAAAGAAAACGACCGGTCGGTCGAGGATCTATGGGCGCGGGAGAACGAGAGTTCTTCAAATTGGAAATCCATTCTGTATTTTGGAACAGTCATCCGGGTCATTGGCTGCTCCTTGGAATTTCCCTCAAGGGAAATTAATCTGAGAGAGAGATGGGCAAGAAAAAAAACGTATGCCCCGGTGCTTCCACTCGCACGTTCACCCTCTGGCTGTCTGGATGCCCGCTCCGAGTATTGGAATTGATGATAGCACAGATCGTGGGCATCCGCTGTAAATTATGATCTCCTGCCAATTTTCTACATGACTTCGTCCACATCGGGGTGTGTCGTATAGCCACTCGGAGACTTCGAAAACTCTAAATACGGAGCCGTCAATCCTTCGGGCCTGAGGAATTTCCTCTGAGACTTTTACAGATTCCAGTTTTTCCGCGGCGGTCCACGGGTCCCGTCGACGTACAGAACTCCCAGTGTCGTCCAGAGTATAACGGTGCCACAGGTTTCGTGTTACGGTACTCACCAGCGCATTGGACTCTGACGCGAAAGGGTTCTTGTCGGCAGACACAACGGCGAACAAATCGCGACTCGCGATGGCGCTTAGCAAGAAGAAAATCCTCATCATGAGATCAAATTATTCGTGATTTTTGCACCGACGAGCAGAAACGATCAAAATTCAACCGTTTCACCGGGGGTACCCTGAGAAGCTGCACCTTCTCAGCACATGGTCTTAGCCGTTGACACGAGTGTAGATATCAAAGAGCACACTTCAATTCACGCCAGCGATCAAGTACGCCCGACGTATTGTTGTTCCTTTTTTCTGTATCACTGTGATAGCAGTGGTCGATTTTGTAGGAGCTGCGAGAATGACGCGTAAAGCCCTCGCCGATGGAGAGACGTAAGCGGAGAAATTGTGCGTAAGTCATCATTAGTGGAACATCCACCGTCGACGGAAACTGAGTCATTCGGGCTGAAGCATCATCATCAGCGGCTAAGAGGCGGACACGGTGGATGAAAAACGCTGCTGCTCGACAATCCTTTTGCCACTTTCCAGTTCGGGGAATTCGCCTTGACTTGACCACATAGCTCACATGAGAGAAGAAGGTCTCGGGCCCACAAGAGCGGCGGGAGGCGCCACTTCCCGGAGGAGTGGAACGATTTTCCATCCGTATCTGATTCTGATCCGACAGTCTTGACCCCGGGTTCAGGTCCGCTGTTGGACCTACCTATCGATCACCACGTATTACTCATTACATGACATAAAATGCACGGACCGCACTTATTCATGACGCATTACGGGTCACGAGAGGGGGATCCTGTGTACATTTTCCAATGCATTTCCACAACTAGAGCTTCTGGGGAGGCCCGGGACACAACTCGGCGTGGTAAATATTCACCACGAAGTCTTACTCATTTGTATCGCGTGCGTATTTTCCTGATAATAATCTCATCTGGTCATGGCTCCCTTGACATTGGAACGAATATCAATGTTGTGATTCCCCCCCCCCCCTGGAGTGAGCCCGAGCCGGAAGTAGGCAATGTGACGGAATCGGGTCCTGGTCCTCTGAGATCCTGCTCGTACCCCAGGCGCATTTGATTTTGATTTTATTTTTCTGAGATACCGTCGAGCGGTGGAACCGCGCTCTAGCCACGTCCCTTGACGGAGATTTCTCACGCACGAGGAGAGCAATGCTCGTCATTCGTCGTTCTGGTCGCCGACATCAACGATCGGGACTCTTTGGGAAATTCCTGGGAGGTGCCGGAAAGAAGGGGTCCGTTCCGAAAGACAACTGTAAATCGATATCATCTGAGAACGTCGCAAACACCGAAAGCCGGACCACAGCTGTCGAAAACGTTGTAGCGTGAATGGGCTTGCCCACATTCGCGTTGTTCTAGTCCGAGTGGATCGTCCAGTCGCTCCCAATCCCCCAATCGGTGACCTTATCAGAGACGGGTCAGTAGTCCAGAACACTCGTCGTTCGTTCTAATCCCGAGCGCCGCCGCCCCACGATCAGACTTGAAGCGAACCGTTTTCTTTTCTTTTGATGACCGTTGACGTTGTAGTTGCCGCCGTCGCTACGGACGCCGTCGTCGCGCTGACACCGTTTTCCACTTTCCAGAAGCCACTCTTTTTCCATTCTTCTTTTTGGAGCCATGCTCTTCGTGAGGCACGCTGCCGTTCTTCTTCATTGTCGAGTTTATGACAATGAGTCTCATCTCGTTTCAGAAGCGGCATTTCATTCCAGAATTCTGTCAGCGTTGCCGTGACTGAATCCGTATTGGCTATCCGCGCCGACGATTCACGTAAGCAATCGCAGGAACACGCCAAATCGACTCCGTAGTTTGCATCCGATATTCCATCTTTTGTTCTAGGGGGGAATTTCTGTTCACAGAAGCGACATTCCGCACTCGTATCGATCGGGGCGGCCGACGACAGAACGTAATCGAGACAACTAAGGGGAAAGCCAACCGCCCGGAAGGCGGGTATGTGGTCGGTTCAATAGTAATGCACTCGACGATTACGCTGGAAGGAGCTCGCACTCGAACATTCGGATGTGGTGATTGCTTTTCCTTTTCCCACTTTCTTTCTAATTCCACTGGCTATTCGCTCATTGCTGGCACTGCAGCGTATCGTCGCCGAATCGAGTGGGCGGATGGAAGAAAATACCGTTAGCTGACCGAGTTTCCTCTTCCCGAATTCGATTTTGTCAATGACCCATCTTGTATAGTAAACAAGAACGAGTTTGCGACTTCGCTGGGAACGCTCTTGCGAATCTCTCCCGTGTCTGCTTATCGCTATACTACTTGCTGTTATTCATCATACGCAATCCGTTTTCTAAATACAAAAGTTCGAGTGGACGTAGCGAGACGACTCAGCTCGCTGTTTACTCGACTTGATTGGAGTGCAAATATGCAAAAAACAACCAGGACATCCCGAGACCCGAACGGATAATTCCTCGTAATAGTCGACGCTCCGAATATCCGAGGGAATTCGCCCCTGCAATCAACGTGTTTACTCCATACGAGCAAGTTCGGGCTGTGAGCTTTGAAGACTCAGTTATCCAATGAGAGCTGAACCCCGACCGTGATCGGCGTACAGGCAGACGCCGAGGAATCCATCTCTCGTTCCTTTCTGATAAGTCGCAAGGAGTATTCTTGGCTAACCGTCTTCGTCCAAAAGCATGTATTAGTCATTTTCAAGAGAAGCCGGCCCACGGTCTGAATAGCGCGCGGCCAGTCAAACCGGACGGAATGAAACAACACCATTAAACCCTGACTCACGGGATCTGGTAGGATCATCGGTTCTATCCGAGGAGTATTTCATTGAACAGATCGCCTCTCAGGAAATAAGAGAATGCTCTCAAAAATCACGAATCAGATGTAATCAGGTAGTCCGGTGTGGTCCGAGCTCACTCCAACCTTTTTGAGGGAACTACACAACTCGGAAAAGCGAACTTCGAGAACGATACCGGTTCCGGGCAATTTTCTCACGAGTGCTCGCCACTCAACACCGATCAGCATTATCCGGACTCTCTCGTTTCTCCCCGGGGAGAAATTCTTCCCGTTCCTCTAATTGATCGGGATGGAGTCTGAGTTCCGATTTATTGATTGTAATGAATCGCGACGAGGCACCTCAAAAATGCTTCACCGCTCTCTTCGCGAGAGCGACAGCTTCGTTCTCCGGAGACATCCAGCTTGACGTAAATCGGAATCGCTCCGTTTTTTCGAGGCATCGACTCGTTCGCCTGTGATGGACAGCTGTCGACTTGCTTTCCGGAGTCGTCTCCGAAAAACTTCTGACTGAGTCGTTCCGAACCTTAGATGTACACGAAGGCAGCAGCCTAGAAAGACGACTTCTCAAAGACTCTCGCGACGGTAGCCATCGGACACGAGTTCAGTGAACTGTCTGACGACTTCGTGAGCAAAAGGTGACTAATCGTGGAATCATTTCAATCAGATATTGGGGTTGACAACCAGCTTTGTCCGTCTCAGCTGGAAGCATGTCCAGAATGCTATAATACAATGGACCGGGGTGAGGTTTTTTCGGCCGAGCGATGCCCCTCGCTTGGTGGAGCAGAGTTTGAATCCTGACGAATCCGATCCTTTCATCCCTCAGCGAGTAAAGCTCGAGCTGGGCGATTCATCGCCGGAGGATCTCAACTCTGAGGCTTTCCCGGCTCTGGGCCGTTCCCCATCGCGCCTCGAAGAGGGTCGCCGACCGATGAGGACCTGGCGGAATACGTCGCGATGAGAGCGAATCGTTTATCTGGAGGGTGTCGGAAGGAAACCTCGAAATTTCTCAAAAAAAAGCTCCAGTCATGGGTCATGGCGAATGGGGATATTCTGTAGGTGACACCACGGGAGTGATGCTGTCTCCGACCCGCCTCAGGATTGTCATGACGACTTCTGTCGTAGATCTATCAGAATAATGATATGTGGGTCACATTGAAAATCCTCGAGTGGATGAGTGCCTTCCTCGTATTGGACATGCTCCTATAATCGAAGATCCGTGCGAGAGGACTCGTGACGCGAGTCGACCTCTGAGAGTTCCTTAATTTTGTTGAAGCTCAATCGCGCCTGACCGCAAATGAGCTCGCGATCTCTGTTTCAGAGAGTTGGCTCTTGCGGGCGTCAAACGTTTTCGTCTCATACTCTGTCGGTTCGCAGCTTGTGAGGAGCCTGACCTTCGAGAGAGAACTCAGGGTGTGTTCCCCATTTACGTTTTGACTTCTGCGGCTTCCAAGTGATAGCACCATCTGGAACGCGAGCTTCTGATTTTTCATCACGCAGGGCTCCCGCTCAGTTGACGTTCCGCGGAAACTTCAGAAAAAAGCTGCCCTGCAAATAGCGGGGCTCGCGGTATCGCACCATGTCTAGCGCTCTCCCTCCTACAACTCTTCCGTGTGTCGGAAAAATTGTTCCGGAGGGAATTTGAGACGCGCTCATCGGCGGGATGTTCCCTCCTCGGGATTTCTCCGGGGCAGCCGTATTCCCAGAGTCGACGGTCGAACTTCCAGGATCCATCCGATTTCTCATGCATCGGCGGATGACATACGCGTGACCGTGAATCGTCTTCAATCCGATTGTCTTGGTGAGATCACGCTCAAGATGGGCTCGGGCGATGACTCCGAGCTCCTAAATCTTCTTGTCACAATAGAAAACGAGGTGACGGCGAGTCGTAAACTTGGGGTCGGAAAAACCCTGTTCGAAGTAGACGGAAGCCATTGTCCCTCAATACGTCCGCTCCTGGCGACGAATTTTCTGGAGCTCCGAGACGGGATCCCGTTGACATAAACAATGGGTGACTCTTGCCATCGCGCACCCGATACGGTTTTGTTTTACTTGCACGTGTTTATGAACATTTTTTTTCCTCGCGTTTCTTTGTCACCGCTTTTGACTCATAGATATTCGCAATAACGCGGAAAAGCCTTTTGGCTGACTGGTGTATGAGGAACAGGAAGATGAACAGCAGTCGACGGATTAGGACTGAAGGAGCTCGGTCTACGCCAAGAATTTGATCAAACTCAATGAGACGAGACTGTCCGCCTATCTCAGCAGCCCGGGATGTTTCGCGGAGAATCTCCTCTTGGCCCGGGGAGGGGTCTTCCGGAAGTCGATGATTCGAGCCGAGATCCGGAATTATATCAGTCGATTGCTTTCCGGGGCTCCTGCATTAGATTTTAGCGGAATTGTCTGAAAAGAACATCTAGAACATGATCAGCAGTCCCATAGGAGGGATCTGTAGAAGGATCAATACGCCGCTAATCCGAGGAACGACACTCACCATGGAATTTCCAGTACGCGAGGCATACCGCGCGGAGATGACAAGTGAATCTTAAGCCTCGAAAGATCCGCAACTGCAAATCCGGGTCTTTCTTGGAGGATAAGGAGCGTTGAGAAGGATATGATGACTCCGGTGCCGGTGTGGGAGGTTTGCTGGTAAATCATAGTGCGTACCTGAACCTTGAACTCGAGTTATCCTTTCGAGCCAACGATCGAGACGAATTGCCTCGTGAATTATCGGAACCAGCCTGAACCCGTCCCGTCTTGTGAGGTCCCTCTCGCTGGGTTCCCCCCGACGATTCGAATTGAATTCAACAACGATTCGAATGAAGAACTTGTCGAACTCCTTCATGTCCATGGAGAGATTGCATTATCGCTTTCGCAGACTAGTGAGCTCCCTGATGAAGGCATCCTTCGGCTGACACCGGTGAGGAGGGTAAGCTCGAAAACAAGCTTCGAGGATGCCTTCGGTGATCAGGTCGGCCGGAGACCTGTCATTCTTCGTTGGATAAGCAGGCTCCTCGGCGTGAGGGAATGCCAATATCGTTTTAGCCTCTTTCAGCGAGCTTGACGTTGCCGGAAGCTCTTCCCGCGGCGTAGCTTGCCATCCGGGATCGAGTTCTTGGATAAGGAGTTCCAGAAGCTCGGCTTATTCCTTGCATGATCATCAGAGAATTTTCGGCCGGGCCCTCCGCCCAGGCTTTTCGCGGCAGCAATCAGCTGCGTCCTCGAATGTTGGACGGATATCAACAGAGCTCGGATTTTTAGGCACTCATAGAGGTGCAGACAAAAACAGGCAGGAAAGCATTGAGAATTCTCGGAATAGGCTCCAATACTAGGCTGAGTAGGCATAGGAAAGGGGAAATGGGAAAAAAACTTTCGGCCGCCATCGCGTTCTCGATCATTTTCTCCGGATTGAGTTCCAACATCGAGGGAGTCCCCATGCTCATATCATATTGTGGCTGGCAAATGACCCAGGGGAGGATGTGGGAGAGCTCATGCCAGGCACACTCCAATTGATCACCGATTTGTGCAGTGTGGACAAAGACGATCTTGTTGAATGGGGTATAAACACAGGAACCGAACAGGAATTCGACGAACTAGAGATCGTGCGCTCGTGCATCGGAAATGATCTCGAAGCGGATCAATAAATATTTTTATTCGCTTTCCTTGCCGCGATAGGCATTTGATGTCAACAGAGAAGTTCTTGAACGTTTTCACGCGATAAGTAGTGTCTACGACACTACTTGCCTCGGTTTTTTTGCCAGGAGATTTCGTTGCATGGGGGACGAAGTTTACTCGTCGGGCTACCCAAGCGATTTTAAAGACGTTTTCACGTCAAAAAATAGGCACGGGGAAGGCCGCACCGAATCTTTCGTCTGTGCCGTTTCATGAGAGATTTTGGTGGGAACTCGGAGTCTCATCGGTTAGTACCGACGCCGGTCTGATAGGAGTATTTTAGATTATCGAAACGCGAGATGTGCTCCTTGAGCATGGGTTCGCCGACCCTTTTCCATCGCCGATTCCATTCGTAAGCCCGGAATCTCCCCGGAATTCCCTATATTCAGCGTCTCCCTAGCCCAAGGAGGCACTTCGAAAAATGATATAGGCATTCTCGATCCCGTAGCGCCGTGAAAAACGGCAAAAATAGCAAAATGCCTGAGCTCCTGAGCTCTGGGTATCAAAGATCACGTTAGGTGTAGGAGACTGCCGCTGGAACTCAGAAATGTTCCGACTCCCATGGAGGAATCTAAACGAATTGCCGCGATTAACATACCGCTCTGAAAGTCTATTCGTCCCAAGAGCCGGTCCTTGAATGTACGATACCCCTGCACCCGTCGGAATCCGAGGCGAAGATGAAACGGAGCTCACCCTTGCGGAGGAACCCGTTCATCCCGGAGAAGACAGCCGACGAGCCGGAGGGATGTGCTCGAGGACACAGTCAATAACCTATCGACAACCCAGTTGTTCGGAGCGCTTATTCAAACATGGATATCTCCACGCAGCGCCACGCGGGCCTCCAAAAGCGCCGCATCATGAGTTCCGGAATGAGAATCGGATTCTATGGAGCGGAGGGTTCTCATTTCGATGCAACTCACTGACTGCAGGCCCTCCTTGACGGTGGCCTCGATCGAAGCTCCGATCGAGAGAGCCCGTTTTCCTCGATCCGAGTTTCAGGAGGGAACCGGAGCAAGCGGGCGCTGGGCGAGCGAGCCGGCGGGCGAGACGAGGGAAGTGGCCGATCGTTCCCGCCATGCCTCAGTGCCTCTGACAGATGTCCCGCGAACTCTAACCATGGAGTGTGTGCAAGTAGGAACAAAGCGACCGCGATTCCCTTTTCGGTTTCGATCGGGGGAGTCATCGTTTGGAAACTTTCGTTCCGAAGCGCAAGGAAGCACAGAGGAGTCTTCCGATTCTCCGCGTGGTATCTTCAGGATGTGCTCTCCTTTTGGAAATAGCTATGCCCAACATCGGCCATGCTCTGTATTCTACGTCTTATAAGTTTCTTCAACGATTGCTACACATTTGCCTCAAGGTAGAATTTATTCACAAAGCAGAACGAAAATCGATGGCGGGAGTCCACTTATCCATGCTCAAAACCCCGAGTGATGTCCCACTTGGTCTCTCTTCTGGGACTTTCTCTACTTTTATCTCCTTTTTGGGTTTATTCGAGATCGGCCTCCCGTAGCCGACGGCTCTCCACGCCTCGTCTCGTTTCATCGGCATCACAACGTTGCTACCGTCAGTCGCTCCCAGCTTGAAGAAAGCGTCGGATTTCATCCTTAATCCCGCAATATAGGTGAGGTCCCTTTGGAAGAGAAGGCGAGACGAGACTCCCAGCGAAGGTGTGCTTGCGCGTTTCGTCGTGGTCGATGAGAACCTGGAATCATTTAATCCGCTTTAGATTTCAGAAATCTCGAATTTCACTCGGAGCACTGGGATGGCTAGGAGGATCTCGTCTTACCGCGTTTGCATACCAATTTCGTCAAATATATCCAGCGAGAGTTTCGTTGTTTCGATGGAATACACTCTTGAGAAGTCCCCTGAGAACCTTGAACCGATGAACTTGGAGTAGGTAGTTCTGCAATTCGCTCGAGTCCCGAGCATTTAAGTCCCGATCTCGATGGCTCAGGAGTTCGCTCTCCCGTTTCACTTTCCGCCTATTTCTGAGAGCTCGCGGTTCTTGGGGTGTTGATTTGGATCGCAGATATCTGGGTTTCATGGGGATATCCCCCCTAGAGGCTCGATTCTCACATGAATAGGGACGAGAAGAGAAATTCCGATTCCCCCTGGAAGATATCCCACATTCCGAGCGCCCCAGGGAAAACTCGAAGCTGGAAATTAGACATTTCGGCGCTCCATTCACTGTTGTCGAACGACGTCCATTTGGTTTCTTGCGAGGGAGAGTGGGCGAATGGGTGCTGTGATGGCGGGTGAGTGCAAGCGGAGGAGCAAAACGGAGGGGCAACTAGAGAGTCCTCGCTAGCCGTCACGAGGAATTTTAATTGAGAACCATAAAATTAAGCCCGAGATCATCAGCCACGGGCTTTCGTCCCCCCCCCCTCATGGTTATGAAAGACCGAGCCTCACGCTCACAAGACGACCGAAAGAGCCTCCGAAGTCAACTCGCGAGAACAAGCCAATTGCGACGCGGGGTTCGCGAAAATTAGGCGATTGAGCCAGTCCCGCGCCGGATGTCTCGCTAATGAACACACTATACATAGTTTCTACTCTGCGAGTGCTGGTGCTCCGTGATGTGGAGCTCTTTTGATGTTGCCCGGTAATCGTTTCTCGGTCGAATCCCGCCGCACAGCTAGGGGACTGAAACTTTTTGTCGGAAATAGAATATTTCATAGATTTTCAAGGGACGTCCGAATCGTGCGGTACACCCGAATCCATGGGTTCTTGGATCTACTCGCTGCCACGTAGGCGGGACTCTGCGATGAGTTTGTCACAGTGAGTCAGGACTAGACTATTCCCACCGCGCGGCCTCCCCTCGACGTTTTCGACTGACTGGACCTTCGTCGGGATGTTCTAGTCGACAGGGTCCAGGCGGTGCGCGCATCACCAGAGAACTGAGTAGAAATATTGCCTGAATGTGTTGCGCTGCAGAAACTTCCAAGAGTCTACACATTCAAGATCAGGATGCGGATCGGGAGACCCATCGACACCGAGCTTGAAAACTTCCACCATGATTTACTCCCTGAGCGGCTTTTACAGCGGGAATGAGGCGCGAGGCGATTCGGATTGAAACAACATGTTCGTACTGCCAACGACTGGTTGATCTCCCATCCTCCCTGGGTTCTCATCCTTCAATTCGAAATTCCCGCACCGTCTCGTAAGGTGAATCTCCCTGAGGTTTGCGGCCGGATTTCGGGAGGCTAGTTTTGTTCCCAGAGGAGAGGCCTCCGTGTTCTCTGCCGTAACGGATCCCGTGCTCCTTGAAATCCGCCCTCGAAACATCTAGCTCTCGACTCATACGCAGCGGAATGAAACGATTTATAACCTGGCGCAGGATGACATCAGGCTCGAGAAAATATCCTTGGGCCCCTCTCTGATTCTCTTCATGAACCGAAAGATCGTTACCGTTTTGAATACGTAACACGTCGAGCAGGATAAGGCTCGTAATGACGCTCCGAGAAGCGATACGGACGATACCGAGGGTCCGCACAACGAGAGAATTGTTGTCGCCACCTCTCAAAATCCCTTTTTGCCTCGACTCGAATGAAGTAGGGTGTCCTTACTAACGAAAAGAGAAACGGCCAGCATCCCTGAAGGATTTCTCGTTCGGCAATGGAAGCGCTATTCTCATTGTTGGGCGCCGCATTGTGTATCGATATTTTTCCAAAGAGGCTCTCCGACACCTACCCCATATAGCGCCACCGAAGTGCACAGCTACACAGCCAACCGGATCATCGATTCTAAGGCGGCCCGAAAGCGACATCACCAAAAGAGCCGATAGCGCACCGAGTGCTCCAACGACCATCGCTTCTCGGGCTTCGAAGAGAGCGCAACCCGCTCGAGGAGAACTTGAGAACGGCAACGAAACCTGCAGTCGCGAGCGGTTCAAGCCCAAGAGCGATTCCGGAAGTGCGTTTCAAATCCGTCGATCCTGCCGGTGATCGCCCACCTGTTACGGCGAGAGCGGAGACGCCAAGATCCTGTTGATGAGGATCGATTCATAAACTCGCCAGCAGAACACGTATGTATACGACATGGCCAGAAGAGCTCCCCCGACCGAAGTGTTCGGAGTTAAAATCGCCGATGGTGCAGCTAATTTCTATCCATGACCCCCTACGCCGAATATTTCACCGCGATTGGAAGCCAGCAAACTCCCCCCCCCTGGGATTCGAATCAAGATCACAGCGAGCGACAGCAGCCTTTCCAAGTCGCTGGGGCGATACCTGAGGGTATCTTGTATCTTTACGCGTCGGCTTGGATCTTCCCAGGTCGGACCTCGCTCCCGCGTGTTGATCCCTCGCTTGAAAAGAGGCAGACCGTGTCAAACATACCAAAGCATGAACATTCCCACAAGTGCATTCGTGGGACTTCCCATCGCTCGGCCTGACTCGTAACGGCCCAGGCGAGGTTTCAAGGAGATTGCGGCTACCAATGCGGATGCGCCGCCTACGAGATGCACCGGAGCACAACCTGATGTAAATATCTCGGTGGTGAAAAAAAGAACTCGCTGCCGAACACTCCCCCGGACGGGCGAAATGATAAGCGGACAGCGCTCACCTGCGAGGTCAACAACACGCATTCTTCTGAGGAAGCCCAGATCTCCCCATATCCGACCGGCTGGCAAGCAATATGTGAGGGTGTTGCAAAATGAAAAAATACAGTACGCCGAAAAATTCGTTCGCTCCGCCATCGCTCCGGAGACGATGTGGGTGGCTGCGAGGGAGCACGAAAGCTGTGGCCAAAAAGTAATTTCAAAAGTTGTTCAACCATCCGAAACCCTCACAATGGCGTCTGTGTACGCGTTTGCGTCCTCCACGAGCTTTCGGAGCACGCATCGGGAAACAAAATCCACGAAGACCTCCTGATCGAGACCTTCTCGGAAGCGGTTCAGAGCTCCGCTCGAAATTTTTTCCCGGGCGCTTTCTCAAAGTCAGGCTTCGCATTGACGAGGCAGCGACTCTTGGTACTCAACTCGATGAGTGCTTCCCGGGAGGAAAACTCCTCGGAAGAAGTATGTCGAGAACACTGATCTTATATTGGCCTCATTCGCGTCGACGAAAACAGCACTGGAAGCTACCACGGACTTGCTGCTCGCATCTCTGGCAGTCAGCAAGGATATTCGATGTCTGAGTTGGTTTGCTTGTGCTGAGCACGGTCCGGCTCCGTGGCCATGGGCGCTAATCCGACTCTTCTCCTCCGAATTCCTCCTTACATTCCGAGGAACTCGGTGCCTACGAATACCGAAGTAATATGATACAGAAAATCCCGGATTCCGTGGAGGATTCCCAGCTGGTCGCATCCGACTACAATCATTTCGATTGTCGAGGGAACGGGGAACTGATGCACGGGAGCACCGGAGATTATCGCAAATCGTAGGCTTATGCCCTCGAATTAGAAGCTCCCGTTTGGATGCAGTGGATGTAAGGGGGAATTGTGTTTTAACTCTCGATCGCAGCAAGAGTCTCATTCGAATGAAACATGGAGGCCTGTTATTTGAGATCACCAGGTCACTAGCGATTGCCAGCCATAATCATACATCCCATACGGGAAAAGTGGAGGCACGAGTCGAAAACCGGCTCTGGCTACTTTTTTCCCGTAAGGAAGTCCATACCGAGCATCCGCTAGCCGAGACTTCAAAAACGACCTCAGCTGCGTTTCCCAACGTGATGCAGGCCTCGTCCGTTCGACTTACGCAACCGGACTCCAACAGAGCGAACCCTGCGGGAGACCCGGAAATTCGAATACTAGATTAGGCTGATAACAAACACCACTCGTGACACCGAGCGTTCTGTCGAACTAGCCCCGATACGGGGGACTGATGTGCCAAGCTGGCTACGTGGTGGAACCTATGAAAGATGAGGTGAGGATCCCATGTAGTTCATCCCAATGGGGTTTTCCATCCGCATCGTGCTCCATGGCAGATCCGCTGGAGCTCGTGGGCCGAGCCCCGAAAACGCTCCCCACTTGCAGCGCTCCTGTTGCTGTGACCTGGTGAAAAATTCATTCGGATCCGCAAAAAACTCGTCGAGAGATCCGGGCTCCAGGCTCGAGCGGCTTGAGCAATAGAGTTATTGCTTTTCACGAAATCAATAGGGCGGGATCATTAGTCACCAATAGTATCAGTGCCGAGAAACGCTAATCGAGCCCGCGATCTCATCATCCGATTTTATGTTTGCATGGGAATCTCTTTATTCACCGCCGGAAGCCTCTGCGTTCCGGAGGCATCCGAGCGTGCTTGAAGGTCCACACGATGATAAATTGAGTTTTCCCACTCTGCGGAAAATTGCGGGACTAATGCAAATCCTTCGATTATTATCAATATTGAAGTGGAGTGAGCCCGGGAATTGATGGAGAGACACGGCAGACTTTCCCCCGGAGTTTTTGAGTGTCGGAGTGCTGTGTTCGTTTCTCCGGGATTCCCTCTTCAAAAGCGACAGCGCTGTCTCCGCTCGGAGCTCGAACATCAGAGAGCCGATGCCCTTGAATTCCGGGACGACGGGAAACAAATTACTAGCTACAGGGCCCGAGCCGTTCACCTGGAAGCTTCCACTACCCTCGGCTAAGCTTTTTACATCCAGGTTTTCATGGCGCCCCTCTCTCCATATCCTGATGAGATTTTTTTTTCTGTGAGCTCATATATCCATGCAAGCCCTCGTCAAGGCTCTGTATACGATCAGGATCGCTCCAATTCCAGGGGTGCCTGTGGGATCGGGATGCTAATATGCCTCAGTTTCTGAGTTCGATCAGAACTCTTGCAGATTAAGGTATCGAGCGCCGCGACGGTTGGGCTCGAGGCGGAGGTAGGCGCAATATTGTTCTCGAACTTTAGGCGGAAAAAGTCTGTTCGCTTAGTATCCGGGACTCTACATGCGGTGTGTGAGAGCCCACTCCGTCGAGAGGGGTTGTCGAGCACGCTTTCAAGCAGCTGAGTCGTCGGTCGGGGGCTACGAACGCCTCCTCTCGAAACTCGGCCAACATCGCCGGAAAGACGGTGCCTCGGAAGCTTGCTTGCTTGCTCGTCTCGTTCCTAGCTCTTCAACTGGGCTCTCGGTTTCCCGTGAGGATTCTTCCCGTTTTCCGCTAGAGCAGGGTTTAATTACACGGTGGGCGCCTTTCAAGGTTCATCCCGTCTCGGCTGTCGCATGCTCTCCCGCTCCTCCCGAAACAAGTCGTTTGCTGGAGGCCTCTACCATCTTGCCGAGGAAATTTCAAGAGAACTCCACTCACACAAATTTCGGACTGCACTCAACCAAAACTCAAGGAAAGAGTGTCTGCCCGGAGCGCCAAATGCTCACACGGGCGAATGCATGAGTTTTTTGCGGGCATCCGCCGTCGCGGGTCAACTTGATCGAATAGGAGTGCGATAAAAAGAAGTCGTCGGTCTCGAGGGACCAGAAAGAACTCCGACGCTATTCTCGGTGTCAGAGGCCCTCTCTCATTAGCGAGAGCGAACCGCGGGAATCCGTTTCTTTGTTCCAGTTCAGCAGGCGTAATACCAGCGCGTCTTGCTTTACTTCCGGCATGAGACCAACTTCGAGCGAGCCCGGCCGCTCCCAAGCGCCGATTGTCATCGTCGTTCCTAGTGGACTCGAATTAATTACACACAGCACATGAGTATGCCTCGCCCTCCGTCCTCGAGCTTCGAGTTTCTTCGCGGATACCTTCTCGATCTGAAGATGATCAATATCGCTTACTCTCCGGATAATCTCCCACGGAAATCCAGGAACTGCTGTTCGTGCGTCGCAGGTCACGACGCTTGAGAGAAAACGGCGCCGCACCGGCGTTAATCCGGAAGTCCCTCAGCAAGAAGATGTTCGCCCGCCTGGTGTAAGCCATGCATTGCTGAATATGGACCACCGCTTGCAATGTGTCCGAAGGAGCCGATGTCAGAGAACAGGTGTCACTGACATGGCAAGCTGGGCGCCTTCCGGACTCAGTTTCCTGACCCGTCCCTCTCTCGTGTTCTGGGGAAAAGTCTTCAAAGAAATCCAGAGAATAATGAATCACCGCTTTTCTTAGCGGACGGGTCTTCGAAGGTTCACCGGATACTCGGAATCGCAAGAATCGGGCTCGTTAGTTTCTCTTTCAGGTTTCGATCAGCGCGGAAGACTTCCCATAGGAAATTACTGCCCCCGATCTCGGAGAGATCGCAGAGAGGAGCGTTCCCCGCTTATCTAATGTTCAATGACAGGGAAAGCTCCGACGGAGAAACCTCCAGCTTCATCACGATTCCATTCGAAATTGGATCGAGACTATGTCCGATTGAGGAACAAGATTTCCGAGTTCGCTTCTCGTATCACGGACGGATGCGGCGAGGGCAGCTCTCATGCAATGTGATTTCCGGATCGAAAAAAACTTCCCGAGGAGCAAGCCTTCCACTCCGGAAAATATCCTGTTTGCCCATGAGCGAAGCGTGTACCGCTTCTTCTTCGTTTGCGGTGACCCATGTATCTTATTCTTGATACCCAGCCTGCGAAAGCGGAGTCTGAGTTCCCTGCGATTTGTCTTGCAATTTTCCGCCCTCGAGATGCTTACCGCAATGGAATCCCTAACAGACGTCTTGAGACACAAAATCTCCCGAACGGAGAAGGCCTCAGAAAACGCGATCCGAGAGTTATATCTCATTCCTCCGACGTTTGCGAGATCACGTCTGCCATACCGCAACATGGAGGAAACCACTCGGGTGATTCTAGGTCCAGGTCTGAATCCACAAACCCGAGTTTCCCACGCAGACGTTTGGGATATTCGATTCGGTATACCTCGTCTCATTGCGTTTGTTCTCGCTTGCTCGATGGGTATTCGATTCCGCATCTCGCTCCGACCTCTTCGCGGAATTATCGAAAAATTGGGAGTTGCTTCTATGTATTGCGCGCCATGGCGCTAGTGTGCTGGGTTTCGAAAACGGAGGGGCATAGTCTGGTCGCTCGTCGCATGGTCCTGCGGGCGGTTATTGCCTTTTCGGGTAACGTCATGCTGCCCCGGCGCGAGGAGAAAAAGACTCGTTGAGAGTTCGTGGAAAATCCGCCGCTTCGGTAAAGACTGCTCCGTTCCAGCGGTCGCCTGATCCTCCTCATCTTCATCTCTCTTGAGCTTTTGCTGCCACAAATCCTGAACGAGAGAAACGAAACTTAATCCTCAAGTTTCCCGAGCGGGGGTGAGAGCTTTCGGGCTTTCATTTTATTCCTCTCGGGCTCTCCCTCCCGGGCTCGCTTCCTCGAAGGGACCCGCACTTCTGTTCTGCGATTTATTTAACTTCATAATCCTTGTCGGACCACGAGCGGCTGCGGCGGCGGTTCCAACCGGACGAGGGAATGGATTCAAATGTGTCTCGAGATTTGAGTCTTCAAGATGACTTATTGACTTGAACGGATAGGCAGAGCGTAGAAGACACGACTTCAAAATTAAACCGATACTGAGAATTATAATCGATTCCCTCGAGCGGGCACATGGGACTCGATTCGAAGGCACCTGCGCAGAATGGAGCTCATTGAGACTCTGGCGATATTTTCTCACGGGAAATTTCCCTTTACGAGATTCGCCGATTCGCGTCCGACATGAAATCATGAGGCTCGAGAATCTATTTCTTCTTCCCTTCCCCCCCTCCAACCGATCCTCCAAGAGAGGACTGCCTTCGACTGAGGAAATCCGCGAGACACTCGTACGCCTTGGGGTTATCCGACACCAATGTAGGACTCCCTCGCGACTGACGCTGATGTCGGTCGATGCGTATCAGTAGAGATGCGTTCGTCGCTCCGGGCAGATCGCGAGCGAATGTGCTGGATTTCCGGGCATACCGCGAGCATATGAACTGGATCTCCGGGCATGATGTGCCGGATGCCTCGTCGAGAATCCTGGCGGATACGCTGGCCGCTACGACGCCGAGTGGTCCACTGCAGGAAAGACCGTGCCGAGCTTCTAGGAGGGCTCTGTGACGCCCGAACCCGATCCAACGACCAAGGACTCAAGGTCTCAGGCCATGGGAATCGAAATGCTCCCGACTCCCGGCCCACTTATTCCGTTCCCTTATCGCGACGGAGCCAGAAATTGCTGGCTCCGTTTTTCAACGTCCCGTCGATTAGGCCCTCAGGAATCATTCGACATACCGGTACGGCAAGCTCGGATTCGGGAGCTGGCCTCGTGCCAGCAGTTCGCCCCAATATCGAATTAGAGTGACTGCACAATTTAATTTTAAAACATAAGGAAGAAAAATCCCGGCATTGAGTGCACCGGACCGAGCGTACGCGACGTATCTGAGAAAGAGCAGCTTCCGACCCCCGTCAGCGACTCTCTATGTCTTCGAGGGCCATCTTGTGGCGAGCCAGCTCGAGTGCGGGAACATTCTTCCTTCTTCTCTTCCCTCTCGCGAATAATTCTTTCATAGGTTCAATTTCCCGAAATTAGCGGTGGGAGGCGAATCGACCGAGAGACGGCCACAGGTCACAGCGGGACGATAAGCTATGATTTCTCAGAGCTTTTCGATAGTGAATCGCCAACAAATACACTCGCGTTCGCTCTATAGATGCATGTCCGAAGAGTACTCCGCGACGCGAGCCCTCGGGAGAGGCTCTTCTTTTCCAACTTCAGGCCTAGTTCTGAAGCTCTCAGATTTCGTCAGCATCTCACATCACGCGTCGTACTCGAAATCGATCGATCGATGCCGCGAGGTGCGACGATATCTCGCCGTGAATTGAAATCGGCGCGCGAATCGGCAGCGCCTTCCCAAGAGCTTCCACACAGTGAGCGAAATGCAACTTTAACGATTATTCCTTCGAAGGAGCCACTTCTGGCCCCACGACACCAAGTTTCCAGGTCGATTCCGCTCTAGTGCCGTTCCCGAGATCCCACCTGACTGACGAGACTCGTCGGGAATAATCTCTGCGGAGGAATTCCGTCGAACCTGTCTACGACGTATCCTGAGATTCGGCGGAAACGGGAAACTGTGATGGGAGATTTATTCCGATCGGAAAAGCGCACGAGGAATCCATCAGGCGCAGGACCGCCGGTGGCAGACATTCAAACGGGGAACAATGCTGGATCATGTCTGTTCTTTAGCATGCGTTTGATAATAGAGCTCACCATGAGCTCTAGGGTCCACTCAACGGACTCGAACGAAAAGTCGAGATAATGAAGGATCTCCTGCTTTGTGCTCCTCTCCCAGGGACGCTCGAGCTCAAGAAAATATTATTCTTGAAATTTCCAGAGGACTAATTACACCTTAGCACGCGTAAGAAAACTAAGCTGGGTGCTTCCACCTAAGAACGGCGCTATGATTACAGTTAAGCTCGGAGCTTTCAGGCTCATGTCGATTCTTGCAAGCCACACGGACTTAATGAATCAATTCGGAGCCGCGACCAGGACTCTTTTCCCGCATCTTTGGACTCGGGATAGAGGTCGCTTCCGTGAGGGAGTTCCAGCACTGATTCAATCAGGTATCATTGAAACCGTTGGGTTGAGTGTCGTATCGGGTGGCTTCATCAATTCGAGCTCGTCGAGATCCCAATCGAGCTAAAGCAGCTCCGAATTTACAGTTGTGCGCAGGGTCTAGATACACTGCTGCAGAAACGAGTCCCAAGTGGAACGACCGGTATCCACCGCTGGCTCAGTTTGGTCGCATGGAAAGTTTCGCTTCTCCTCTCGATGTTCCCCGCCTTATCCTACTACTCCCACCGTTGCTTCGTGTCGTCCTCCTTCGCATCGACATTGTTCCAACGTCTTCCGCGCACCGGTCGCCCCTACAGCTTCGCTTCAGACACTTCCCTCAGTGTCTGTAGTGGGGAATTCCTGTCACGTTCCAAGGCGAGAAAACATCGAACCTTCCGGAGCTAGGTCGGAAGAAAGGGGAATCGCACGAGACTAGCCAACCTCACAGAGCTCCCCGTCCTCTCAACTAATTCTGAGAATTCACCACTTGTGCTGCACGTCCCGCTACTTTCGATGGGAACGTATGCAACTCATGGCTCCTCCCAAGGCGTTCCCGGGGAACGGAGAAAGTTATCGTAAGGTGATACTGTCGTCATTTTTAAGGAGCTCGTTCCGGACATCGACGGGTTCATATCACAGTACACCTGCCGCGCAGAGCGAAGAAGCGCTGGAATGAACCTCATCGAAGCCCCGGGAGCCTTCGCCAGATCTCTGTTGATGTAGTAGGTATGTGCCACAGAAAACTTCTGCGATCACCGAGGACGGAGCCGATGATGAGTTAATCTCCTCTGGTGAACGAAATCAGACGATATCGCGGAGCGTCGCCGGCGTCGCTGTCGTCTGCAGCTGGTGTCGCATGGACTGATAGGGAGAGCTCATCAGGCGTTTTTTCAGTGAATAGAATCACAGAAGATTGCCTGAGTGACTGTCCACCCGCCGGTCGTCTCTGAGTCCCATTCTTCCCTCTCCGAGTCTCTCCATCGGAGTGCGCACTCACGATCGAGAACATTATTCAAGATAGCGCCGCGTCGTCTAGAAGCGCGTTCGTGGATTTGAGTTTGAGCTGGAGGACATTCTCTGAAGGAAGTCAACGGAATCCGTAATCATCAAATGTGCACCCGCGAAGTCCGAATTTGTCAGAGACAAATGCATTCAGTCATTATTGCAGTTTATCAGAGATCATATGAGGTCTCATTTGTATTCGATCTCTGAGACGGATAAACTCTTATGCGGACCCCACCCATCAATCGTGACGACTCGAATGGCGGCGATGAGCAGATACAATGTGTATTGAGTCTGCCTGCGTCATAATAATCGACTGAGCGATACCGTACACCATATCTGCGAAGCCGTTGCGTCTCCGAGACGGGAGGATCTGTGCTGTATCCTCGGTCGAGCTACCTCCTTGTCTCGAGAGAAGGATGTTTCTAGGAACCTAAGATTTTTCTTATACTCTCATCGTCGGCTCGCCTCCTGCTACCGGTGTCCTCCGAACTGAGTTAGCCTCCCCGGAAGTCGACGGAAGCGCCGTCGGAGAGACTCCGACAAATTTTCAAGGCGGACTCGATTGTGCTCGCCGAACTTGTTCCCCTCAAGCCCAAGTCTCGCAGATGTCAGCTCTGACAACTCTGGAGCAGAAAAATGATTAAGTGTTCCGAACTGGGTCAATAAAAGCGAGGTTTCCGCAGAGTTCGGGGAGATCCTCTTGAGCTCTCCCCCAGCTCCGTCGACACCGTCGGCCGAGGAAACAATGTGGAGAGCCTGGGCTGCCGAAGAGAACAAGATCTGGGAAGGAATTCCTTGCGGTCAAGATGAATTGTTTGAGACATGGGGTGACGGGATAAAGGCAGAGACAGCGCTCCGTCGCCGCTGAGATGAATCATAGATACAGATGCTCAAACGCGAATGTTCCGATACAAAGCTTCGCCGATCGTCTCGTCGATAACCCTCGTCGGCGTCGCCTTCCACACGAACGACTTTCTACTATATAAATAATGACATTTCTAACTCCTTCCGAACGCCGGCGTTTCCCTTCTACGGGACGAGGAGAATGGGAATCTCTCCGAAATAACATCAAAGAATGTCTTCCCCGCTGCTGCTGCCGCTTCCGCTGCCACCACCGACGCCACCGCGAGAAGCGATGTTGTGACAGATCCACATATTTTATCTTTTTCTGCTTCAGACTGTGTGTGTGCGTGTGTCTGTCAGCAGCTGTCTTCCAAGAGCATATGGAGCTCAGCGCAACAAAAGGAGGAACCAAGAAGGTAGGAACTAGTTTTTCAAGCGGAGCTCGTTGGAGGCAGCCAAGGTGCTGTTGCATGAATTCTTCCGCGGCCTAAAACTCCCGACTCAACAATTGAACACCATGCTAGCGCCATGTGGCTCGATTTACATAACAGGTTTATTTACATTTCACACAGTCTCAACGTCGTTCCATCGTCACAAGCAGCTCCAGGGTCGGAGCCCGCTTTTAGCTGAAGATGCAGTGTATGTCTTCCCCATCTAAAGGGCTGGCTTCCTGCGGAGGAAGCGAAGAAACGAATATTAGAGGTCCTCTCGAGAAGCTCGACTCTCTATCGATTCAGGATCTAAACCTGAATTCGCCCCCTCGCCCCGAAGCTCATCTTCCCGATATCGGAATTTCTGAGAGAGCGCTCCGAACGAGCGCCGTATACGTGTAAAAGATTGTCAGATGGGTCCGCGAGAACCTCGATGTGGAATCCCCCGGAAGGTATCAGGAACTATGACAGAAGCTGAAACACCTTCCCCGGATCCTTCTCACTCTTCGACCATGCTCTGACGAAGATACCATTATCAGGCCCGTCACATCAAATCAAAGGAAGGGAAATCAGATCGGGAAAAAAGGATAGGACGGAACCCGAGGCAGTTCCCTAATTTCTTCCCGGTGAAAGAGGATCAAGTCGACCAAGGGAGGAGAAATAAGCGTTGGTGAGTGGGCGGGCGCGCGGTCGGATGAGCGAGCGAGTGGACCAGTGAGTGAGCGTAGAGGTTTTCTTCTGAGCCGGAGGCATCATTTTTTCCATTAGTGATCTTTACCTGATAGCCAGCCCAACGTCATAAGCTTGCAGCGGCCCAAGCTCTTAACGACGTCCTGGCAGGTCTTAGAAGGTGGTCTTTTTTTGTTGATATCCGGTAGAGGTAGGCGTACTCGATGTCACAGGCCCACCAGGACAAAACAGGCGATGCCACTCCCAACAAACCGCTTGCCACAGCGATATAGAAAGCCCAAAACAGGACGCACTTCGGTCCCAGTCGAAATGGAGCACTCTGATCCCCACAAGCTTCCCGGACTTCCCCGTTGTCGAAACCCATTCCGTAGCAAAACAGAGAGCCGAGTTGGGCGATTCCTGCAAATAAACGTTACATTAACCGACTGATTTTCGGACGATTACGCTATCGTCCGCACGCCGAAGAGACGATCCCGGGCGACTCGATGGCCATACTCCACAACCCGAAGATTTTCTGAACGTATTCCAAGCGAGAAGTACCCCAGGAGTCCATGGGAACACTGTCTCATCTAGCAACTTTCGTAACGAAAAACACGCGTCTCGGGACCGAAGTTTTGCAACGTCTCCGGAGGCGGTGCTCAAGGGTCTCAGACCCTTGAGCCGAGCATCCGATCTCAACCCCCAAGTCTCAGTCGGTATAGCGAAAGTCCAGCTTCGAAGCCAATGTGTATGTATAGTTCCTAGTCTCACACGAGCGTCACGTTTCATCGGACTGTCAGTCAACGAACCGCTCTCCGAATCGTCGAATGGAGAAAACGATGAAAACCGATCGCAAACTGTCGTCAATACTATCGTCGCGACGGAAGCGGGTCGAGCGGGAGGAGAAGTCGTAAAGGAGATATTCTCGGACTTCTTCGCATGCCAGACGTGGGTATGATGCTCTTGGATACATTTGCGTCGCGAGCTCGTCGCAAACAGCGGAGACACCCGCTTAGAAGCCCGGAGACGCAGAGTCATTAGATTGACGTACTGAAATCCTCGCGGCGGAGTCACTCCATTCAAAAGACTCCGGCGAGCAGAGTGGGGACCGGGATGAGGCTTCTAGAGAGATCCGAGGCGAGATTGGGATGCATTCACTCCCAATCAGTTCATACGAAATTGCTGCTCCTACCTATCGCTGCGTCTTTCGCGAGGCCTTTCCCCTGATCGGAGAAATTCCATCAGGGTGCACGGAATGATTTCGGCACTTACCTCCGATCGCCTGCAGGGCGCCAATGAAGCGCGCGGTGATACGACTAACACTATTGTCGATCGCACACCACAAGCCGATGATGAAAGTCACGAATAGGGCCACTGCACATGATACGACCGCCAAGAGAATTCCGGCCCGCCACCAGATCGACGGGAGCGCGGTCAAATCGGCGTAGCGTCCACATTCCAAAACGATGTCTAATCTGGAAGGATGCATAAAGCGTTGAGGGATCGAATGATTGCAGGCTTTGTACCGCTCTCTCTCACACCCAGATCGCGAGCGAGTGGACGGGGAGCTCCCAAGGCTGATTACGTGAAGTACGCACGTAATCTCGAATCTGCGGCCGACCGGTGTGGAGTTGGGGCTAGGAATCGCAGCGAGAAAAGAGATTCCTCCCTCCAAGGAGAGAAGAGTCACTTGGAAAATTGCGACGGACTTGCTTTCCTTGACGAAGAATCGTAGAAATAAGTTCCTACGCCGCAGGGTTGGTTGTTGTACGTTTTCCTTTTGATAATTGTTCCATCCCCCATAACAGCATGAAGAGGTGCCGGTCGATAGGAAACGCATCAAGCAAGCCTTATTGACGTCTATTGCCAGCACGAATGCTTTGTCGAGATGACGACGTCTCAGGCCTGTGTTGAAGGGGAAATCCCACCTCGGCTCGCTTCTCCCCCATGCCGCGGAAATATGGCACTGATGAGTCCCCCGCGGTGTATGACGAGAAGCCTCCGGCTATCTATATGGTTCCTCTTTTATCTGTCTCTTTTTCCTGTGTAATTTCTCCTCGTCGTCACTTCTACCCGAAGCGGCCCATGTCCTTCCGGCGGGAAGAGCATTCACGGTGTAATGGAATGCTCTCGCAAAACATTCACTTTAGAGGGAATTCTCTGCTCGTCGTCGAGCCGCATCGGCAGAACAAAAAAAGAAACGCAACACATCGACCGAGGAAGGAACAGAGCTCAATTTTTCAGAGCTGACGTAAACTAGTTTTTCCACTCCTCCTCGGTGTCCCTTGAGAGCCCAGACGGATTGTACGGGCGGAGGTCGCTTGGACTCAGGAGCCAAAAAGCCATACGCCTGTTTTATATGTACTTGTCTTTTATGGTTTCGAACTCGTCTCGCTCTGACACCACGCGGCCACCCGGCGCTATAACTCTCCTGTTCGCCTCTTACAACGCTTGTTAATTGCTTCAATAAGGATCAGATGTTCGAGCGAGAGGAGGCAATGTTTCTTCATTCGCCTAATCTCATCGTCGTCGGCGGGTCGCGCCGAGAAATTCGCACCCTCTTCTGCCTTGTGCAGGGAAAATTCCTCGGGAAGTCGTCGGGACTCTCTGCACTCCATTGCTCCCAGAGCCTCTATCAAGGGGTCATCGTATGGGATGATTGTCTGGCCTCACGATTCTCTCTATGCCGATGGTACGTGATGGGGGAGCGACCCCCAATCGTGCGCAAATAGCTGGCTGCCCGTCTTCTGCTTCTACATTCTCTGAATCGATCTATAAGACTCACAAGCCGATCGGCGAAAAGTTATTCGTCCAGTCCTCTCCAATCGGGAATCTCGCGTTCCCCGACGTCGTTTCATGCGTTCGCATGACCCGAGCTTGTACCGTCGAGCCTCGGAGCACGAACGATTTCGACACTCCCAGCTCGGCGTATTTCGGTGTGAGCAAACGCTGGGTAGCCTCTTCGAAAGCGAAGAGTTCGACAGAATAGACATCAGCTACCGAAGAAGCAGTTTCCAAGATTGTTATACCCTCTGCGCCACGTCTGCGTCGGTCCAAGGATTCGATTTGCCCCGTCTCTCCCGCTCGTTCCGCCTCTCTTCCTGATGATTTCTCCCTGTTCGACTCCTTGCAGGACAAGTGGACCAAACGACTTCACCCCGTCACGCCTCGAGAGATGTCGGAGCTCCCTCGGGTCATTCGCCGAGTCGGCGTTTCCGGGCGTGATGGAAACGGGGAAGACAGATGAACTTAACTCAAAAAACAGTTTCCAAAAAAACTGTATACCTTTGATTCTCCAGTAGAACCGGATAATTGCACCTCCTGAGTAATCCAAGATGAACTATTGTGTTGTTGAATATCTGTCCGCGTATCCAATAGGGGGAGAACAATGCACAACATGAGAGAAAAACATTAAGGATCGAAGCGAAACACCACAGGCAGCCGAGTTTCGTCAAGGGCAGCGACATTGCCGGCACTGTCATCAGCTGATTCAGCATCAAAATTAGCTGCACGTGTTCATTATTCCAGTAGGAGCTAGGACGATCTCCTCCCACGGGAAACCAAAGGAGTTCTGATCCAGGAACGGAATTCTTCCTTCGCGGCAGGAAGGAGCTCGAGACCGCGGAGAGGGAAAACTGGAAAGGGTAGGAATCCCTGAAGCTGTGGGGCGTGGGTTCCTTCAGTGCTCGGTTCGGTGATAATCCTCATCCGGATTTCGATACTCTCATAGGCTTATCGCCAGGTGAAATGAAACAGAAAACAAACAGCCCATCGGGACGATTCTAAAGGAGGCGCAAGGCAACAGAGGATCCCCGATGTGAGCCTGCCCGACTTAACGAACAGAGAAACCTACTTACTCACAGCCAATATCCAAACTAGGACAATGCTATCCCACGGAAGTTCGCTCCAGTCTCGTTAGCTGGAAGTTTCTGTGCAGATATTCCGAGACCTTCAGACTCTTCGCCGAATTCTCTCTACCCCCTTTAGGGGTCCGTCCCCGAAATTACAAACGGATTTGAGAGAGAACGGTAGGGGGCAGGCGTCCGAGAGACACATCAGAAAACCGCGAGGAAACTCTCTCATCATGGGGCGAGGAACGGCTTTCGAACGAAGATATCTCCATGTTTGGCTGGGTGATGAAAACATTCTGAACGGCCTCTCGAACGATGGCTCTCGAAGAGTGCCCCCCCAGCCACATGTTGACGCTGAACTCCCCAGGAGAAGGAAGACGCTCGCACAGGAATATATGCTAGATACACACATAGAGCTCACTATTCACACCGACTCACTATTCTCGCGGCTCTCAAGCGATGAAACTTTGTGAGCTCCGAATGGGGAAAGTCCTCCAAAAGGAATCACCGTTGGCTTCCGGACCCGGCGCGGCGGCCCCGCTCCAATCGTGGGGATCATGGTCCGGCGAAGGTTCCCGCATGTTATGCGATTATTTGATGCTCCTCGCTACTGTCAGATACAGCGGCCTAATCCCCTGTCTGATAGCTCTGGATATCGAGTTAGAGCATCCGCATCGTACGAAATGGATAGCACAGTGTTCATTCATATTCTCACTCAATTCTGTGTTCTATGCATACTCTCCCATTGTCGTTTGGATTCATCGTTTTTATGCTTGTTTCCTCCTTGCAATATCCTCTCGGAATGTCCTCGCCAGAATCGCTAGAAAGATATCGTTCTTGGGGTCTTAGAGCCGCAAACGTCTCCGGCCTCGAATGCTCTTCATTCTTCTCTCGTCGAACATGAGATTAAACGATAGGTTGGTCGTGCATGTTTGTCCTGACGGTTATTTCTCCAGACTGTTCTTTCTTCCCACGGGCATGTCACATTCATCATCGTGAATGAAGGAAATAGAGGAGTCCGATGAAAATATGGCTTTTGTGGTGGGTAGATTTCCCCGTCAACCGATCAAAAAATACCCGAATGATTGAAGGAGACAAAAATTTTACTCGCGAAAAGTGCAAAACTTTCACTCCAAGTCTGTAACAAAAGTTTGCGCGCATGCTACCGATGGCGTTCCTCACGCAGCTGACAAGTAAACATTCTTTTTGAAAATGACAATCGCCTGGTTTGACATGCTTTTCTGAAAGTTTCCGAGCCCCGGAGCAACTGCGAGTCGTTTTTCCCTGCTGTCCTGCATTTCATACCCCTTTCCTGCAGGCTCCGAAACCCGGAAAAACACCATTCACATTGAAATCCGGGATATTTTTCTCGGATTTTGATGGAAATGTTTTTTCCCCAGGTTCCGAAGCCCGGAAAGACCCATTCCCATTGATATCCGAGCAAAATATCCCGGATTTCGATGTAAATGGTGTTTTTTCCGGGTTTCGGAGCCTGCAGGGAAGGGGTCTGAAATGCAGGACAGCAGGGAAAGACGACTCGGGGTTGCTCCGGGGTTCGGAAACTTTCAGAAAAGCATGTAAAACCTGGTGATTGTCACTTTCAAAAAAGAATGTCTACTTGTGAGGCTCCGAGCCGACTCATCCGGTTTCGCAGAATGTAATAGCGAGTCGATGGAGCGATAGCTCGCGAAACATGGCGATTCCGGGGGATCAAATGAATCACCCGAGGTGTGACCATCATGTACGCTCATGTGCCGCGGATGTGAGAATGAGCTCGACAGAGGTATTCATACATTCTTCGGAAGTGGAATGAGGTTCCCTTCAACGTGAATCCACTTCCGTTGAAATGCAATCAGTCTCTGCGACCCAAGAGTTGGTTCGATGACTCGATGAGCTACGCGGGAAGGCTCATCGGTCAGGGTGCGCGAAGGCCTTTCTGTTCCAGATTCGGAGGGTGCGAAAACGTTTTTTGCCAGCGAAATTTTTGTAAACCTCACTCGATCGGAATATTTTGGATCGGGCGTCGAAGGATTTGAGCTCCCGATACTACGCATCTTTTCCAGCAAGTTTCGGCGGCATCCATCGCTCCCCATCCAGCGTGGGTTGGGGAATCTCGATAGCGCGCATACTTTTCTTATACAGTGAGCCCCGTGAACGGCGACTTCCGAAAGATTCGTATGCTCTGAGAGCGGCGTTGAATTGCCCAACGTTTCACGAGGAAACACAGAAAACTCACATCAGTTCAGAGCATCGCATTTTTTCCTGCACAATACGATTGATTCGCGATTCCTTGGAGATAGCGGGTTTCCAAGATCCCCGATTGCGCCCCTTGACTGGCCACGACATAGATGAATGAAGTCGCTTCATCGCGTGCTTCGCATCAAGCCGACTAATGGTTGGGCTCAATGCGGACTGCCTCGTTTGTATTGTTTCTGGCTCACTCGAGGCTGCGCAAGCACAGCTGCATGGAGAATAAACCAAAAGAGTCGACGAGAGTTGCTCACTTTGGCGCCGACGAAATCTATTGAGCGCTTTGACTCAAAGTCTCTCTGCGAAGACCTTCCATCATTAAGGAATTCTTACGGCACGGCGCGAGTTCGGGAGTTTTGGAATCCTCGTGATCATTCCCCATGCTTCCGTTGAGATGCGTGATGCTGATGATCTTCTGGGGTGTCTCCGAGGCCGATGGTGAGCATTCATAATATATCGTTCATGAGAGCGAATTTCGAACTCTGGAATATATATTTTTCCCTGTGAGATCGTCTGAAGCATGGTGGTCCAAGTCTGGAGAGACCGACGACGACGGGAATGCTGGAAATCTCAATGGCGCCCGTGTGACAAATAAACAGCGAGTGTGACAGAATCGAAGGTTCGGATATCGAACTCCCTCGGAGAATGAGTTTCTGTGATATCGTCTCGTTTTCGAGGCTCAGCCTGGAGTCCAGAGGGAGTTCCCCACCCCCATCCCACCCGATACTCTTTTTACTGTGACTCAATTTAAACAGTTTGATTTTCAGTTCCATCGGTCGAGTGTTTGCAACCCGCGCCCGTCGCATGCGATGATGGAGAACTCCCCGGCTATTACTTCAATCAATCCTCGAGCGCCTGTCAATATACAGCGTACGCGTTGTGTTCGAATACAACGAATTCATTCGAGTTCCTAGAGCGGTGCGAGACCTCGTGTATAGGGCATTTGACCGAGCTGAGCAGGCGGATCTCAGAGAACGCTCATCATTTACATGAGAGCGATGAGCAAATTTCCTAGGAGCTCGATGCATCCGGATCGGTGAGACTACCGAAGATCACGAACCTACCGTCGACCCAGGAGACCGTGCCTGATGAGCTCCTGTAACCGCGCCGCAACGAGCATTGCGAGGGAAGGATTACTCCGGAATAGGGCTTACGGTTCATACCGAAGAAAGTAAATGGCAGAAAAAACGGGTTGTAACCTTCTGGGGAACGCGAGAAATTCTCGCTCTGATCTCTTCTCCAGTAATCTGTACGACAGTTCCCAAAGGAATTTATCAGTCTACAACACAGCTCCCGCTGGAAACGATCAGGCGTCGGAAAAAAAAGGAATAAAACTTCCGAGTACTGAGTACACGAATTGTCATAAGAGCAGGGGTGAAGCCAGGATTTTTTTTCTTGGGGACTCGTTGACGATTTCTGAACTTTGGCGTCGGAGTATCCGAAAGACTCCGGCGAGTCCGTCAGATATGTCAGGCTCCTCTCCCGACTGGTGACCGACATCTCGGAGTGACGGGGGTGTGAAGAGAGCGATTCGATCCCCGAATTGATGAAGTAAGTGAATCGTTTCAATGAGGCTAGGCTAGCGTGGTTGTGGAATCCTCGATCTGGAAGGAGGGCGATCTTCCGCGGGAAACTCACAATCCGTAGCGAAGAGGCAGTAATACTACCTATCTTAGTACCTCGGTAGCAGTTATACTACCGGAGTATGAACCTGACATTTTCAAGGGGGCCTCGGACGGGAAGGCCTTCGAGGGGAAACCTCCACATCGAATGAATTTATTGTTCTGAATCGGTTCACTTCGAAATGATCGAATCTCAATCTCACCTCAGGGGGCGTTCCCCCAAGAGTCTCACTACCGAATCCAATCGCGAGGTAGCACTGTACTCTCATAGCTTCAGGTACTTGGAGTGTTTCCGCGAGACATCAAGAGCGTCCCAGCCCTCAGTCAAGAGCGACGTATCATCCAACATCCGCTTAGGCTATACTTTTCACCTTCTCGGTTCTCGCTTTCTCAAAGGATAGATAATTGATAGAGAGTAACATCTTCGTGACCGAAATTCCACGATCCCCGCTGCATTCTCTTAGCAACGTCAATACCGAAATGAGCTCAGTCCCTCGGTTCCTTCGCGAGGCCGCGCATCTGTCCCGGATTCCTACTCAGTCAGTTCGCCTACGATAGCTCCCCTAACGGGCAAATTTCGCTCTCACGGGTATACCATGCTTCGGATTAATGATGACGCTGGGAACTTTCAATTCGGGCGTCGATTCGAAACCATCGCCGGGCTCGAGTCGAACTTCGGTGAGCATCTTAACAATGGCCATCTTGATTTCGAACAGAGAGAATCTCATGCCGATGCAGACTCGTGGTCCCAAACCGAAGGGCAGGAACTGAGCCTGGTGCAGAGGTCGCTCCCCATCCGCGGCGAATCTTTCAGGTCTGAACTCTTCCGGCTCATCCCAGTGCTCAGGACTGTGGTGTATGTGGTACACCGGGATCACCACGCTGCAGCCTTTCGGGAAGAATCGTCCATTGATCGTTATGTCCCGCGAGCAGTGCCTCGAAACGAATAAAATTATAGGCGGATAGACGCGAAGGCATTCGTCGATGAAATTCTGAAGAAATTTCAGAGAGTTCAGATCTTCATAGGAGAGTTCAGTTTTCCCGGGGAAGAGCTTCTCTACCTCGGCGACGATTCTCTCTTGCATGTCGGGTCTCGCGGCGAGAACCTGTGTGATGAAGGCCAACGCGGTCGCACTGGTTTCGAAGCCCGCTACCAGAAAGATGAACGAGTTCGCCATGAGTTCCCTGTCGTTTATTTTACCAGTGGTCTCCTGAGCATCGAGCAGAAGCTGCAGGATATCTGGCTGCTTCGGGACTTGACCTGCGCGACGTAATTTTATAGCGTAATCCAAGTTCTCCAAGATGGCCTTTATGATCCCGCCGGTCCCAAAGCTCCGGTAGAGGAAGCCGAAGACTGGTCCCAGAAACGGAAAGGCGTGCGCCAAATCAACAACGCCGTTCTCGGCCTGATCGAAGAATTCTTTCGTGTTTTTCCGGAGTCCGCCTTCGTTGCGCTGACAGTCGGTGTTCATGGCTAGAGCACAACGAGCGATTACGTCCAGAGTTAGACCTTGAGCTACGTGGTTCATGTCGAAAGTTTCACCGGTGGCGGCTTTCTCCTTCACGATGTCCACGAATATTGTGACGCACTCCTGGATGAGATCTTTCATCAACCGCATCTTCGCAGCACTGAACGAGGGAGTCATGACACTTCGAACAGATTTCCATTTTTCGCCTTTCAGAAACAGGATGGAACTCTTGAAGGGCTCCTCGTTCATTGCACCTTCGGGGCGATCCACGAATGAGGCAGCTTCCTGCGAGTATCGGGAAAAAAAAACTGAATTTCAGGAAGAACAGTCGTTGTTCAATGCCTGCAAGTTCGATACGGTGAGGAGATGCGCCTCATGTAAATTGAGACTTTTCCAGACGAACCTTCACGAGAACTTCTTTGATTGTATCGAGGTCGCTGCAAATGATCACGGGCTCGGCGCCGTTGTACATCCCGAAGTGGTCGCCATACTTGGCGATCCATTCGGAGAGTAGATGGACCCTATCTTTTTAAGTTGTAGATAATTGCCTGGAATGGAGGCGATAACGCGAATCAATATAGCTCCTCGCTCGGAGCGTGCAAGATATGGATGAAGCTCCTCCATCGAACTCACCGAACAGGAGATCAGGCTTTGGTCCATCGATTCCATGTTTCTTGAAGAACTGATGCTCAACGAAATGTCTCCTCAAGAGCCAGAGTCCCGAAAGCGTGGCTACGGACAAAAGCAGCACGCCGCTGAAGTGGCCGAGCACGAAAGTCGCGAGCTCCACGAAACCCATTCCTGTCGAAGTCCGAACTCAATTCTCCGTCTCACACTGCTGTTCCTGGGAAACCCTTATCGGTACGACGGGAATCATTTACGTCGAATTTTTCCCAGTATCTTTCCCTGTGGTGCCTGGAGATCTAACTCACGAGACCGGAGAGCGCACTCAGAGCAGCTGAGTCTCGTAACCCGCCGAAGACAAAGGAACTTTGATTTAGGACTCCAGAATCATGTATTCCACCGGCTCGGGTCTACGAACCATAAGAACTGCACCGAAGCAGAAAATACGATCCGCGTCAATGTCCACTCTATACTACTTTCACTCAGCTTGTGGCGCTCGTGGAAAGACAGCTGGATCGATTACTGCTGGTACCGACGGTGCTGCCGTAAACAAGGGGAAAGAGCCCACAGTACAGCAGGGGATCGCTCCGGACTGTGCGCTCACTCCTCCGGCACGGCGGCGGGAGTCAGCTGGCCGCTGTCAACCTTCGGTCCCGCTCAATCGGTTCCGCGCAAACATTTTGGATAAGATTGATCCGATTTGAGATCGCATCCCCGAAATCCGAGGAGGACCTATTCCTAGCTCGGAACAAAGGTCGACCGAGCGTGAAAGATGGCAGCAGTCCCCTCACGGGCGAGACGCGGGAACTTATCATGGAGAACTCGTCCATCGAGTGAGGGAGTGGGGAAAATGGACTCCAGACCAGGACGATTCCCTCGGCCTGCTCATAGTATTGTATCTCCAGCGTTAGGTGCTCCGTACCTCTCATCGTATCATTCAAACTATCATTGTCGGTGGAACGAGCGGTCGTTTAGCTCCAGTGTCGGCTCCGAACGGACGACGAGTACCCCGCAAGCCCAGAGCTCCAGGTGCTCGACTCGATGTGCATTTCCGACGCGACGCTGCTTCGGCGGGAGACGACTCGAGTCAGCTCCTCGATGTCGTCGATACATTGGGTGCTCACTGCTCGGCCTCGACCCAGCCGGGCAGGGTGCCATCATCGCCCGCCAAATCTCTCCGCGGCTCCACAAACCACAACTTCGTCTTCTGCATTCGGGGATTCCGGTGCCCTCCTGAAGACTGAAGACTCGGGGTTACTCGTACGAGAGGTTCGCGGCAGAGGGGTGTCCGGGGACAAGAGCGACATCGCTAGTTTAGAGGAGAAAACGAGTTCAACGGGTTGGTATAACAGTGTTTATTCCGCTCTTTTATCATAAACTAAATTTTCGCTAGAGTCATCTGAGCTTTTCGAAATAATCACTCTTCGCCTTAGTGTACCTGGAACGAGAAATTACAAATCGGTCCCGCGGCGGGGGACGAGACCAAGGCAGAACTCTTTTACGGGAGCCGTATCGCCCTCGAAGCAGCTAAATTCGGTCTTGTGCGGCGAACTGTTCCTTCGTTTTATCCGCAGATGCTTGGCCACACAGACCAAGTCAGGCTCGAAACCTCATATGTGATGATCGAGGAAGTGTTTGATGATGTCGTACACCGTGAAAGACGTGCCCGTCGCGAGGGGCCCTTTGATCCAATTCATGCTTAATCCCTTGTACAGTCCTCGGCGTAGGCCTTCGTGCTTTCTGATGTGCAGTATCGTCCCTCGGATGGTTTTGTATTTTTGACCTGCGGCGAAACCCGATGTCAGCTCGAACTAAGAGGCAGCGGGTGTCGATTGTAAGGACAGGGGTCATGCACTCACCCGTCAGTCTGGACGTTTGCATTCTCCTCCTCACAATATCGAGAGGATACGATGTGCTCTGACCCAAGAGACCGGCGATCGCTCCGAAAATTAGCCGTTCCATGGGATGTAATTGGCCTATTTCTTTCTCGCTGACTAGGTTGAGTTGAGTCGAACGATGACGTTTCAGGAACTCGTATGTAAAGAAACTCGTTCCTGCGTATGGGATCACCCCGAGTAACGAGGGCACGAAGCCTCGGTAGAGGGCTTGCGGTCCTTCGTTCTTCCATATCTTCAAGAAGACTTCACCTGTTGGATGGTGAGAGGAGCGTCAAATCTGAATCGGGATTGATCGAAATTCCGAATGGATATCTCAAGGAGAAACAGAAGAAATGCAAAGATTTCAAAAGGAGAGCTCCGGAGACTCACTCAGATTTTTGTACGTTTCGCAGCGAGAAACCGCCATTCGAGCTCTGGCTAGGTCCAACGGGTAGGTCACCGAAGCAGCTGTGACTCCTGCTAAGCTTCCTGTGGAGGAGAGCTTCCTGTGATTAAATTCTCAGCATCAATGCGCAGAAAATGTTCGCGAATAGCGTCCCCCGGGAGGAGTCGACGAAATCAGGAGAGTCATCGACTCATCAGGTCAGATGGATGGCCACAGCTCCTTCATTCCGATAGATCACTTACCCGCAATGAAACATGTGCCGTGCCTTTGTGCGCGCTGTTCGGTCGTCTCTACCTTGAGCAATATCTTGTATTGTTCATGGCAGGAATATTGCAGAGCTGCGTAGGGGATAACCCTGGCCATCGTAGCCGAGTTTCCGCGCCACCATGACGACAGCCCGTCTCTATGGTAGCTTTCTCCCAGAAACTTGAACGCCTTGCGTAGTGAATAAGGCTCATTTCGGACTGCGAAGGAGAAATTCTATGGATTAATTGCTTCTCAATGGGGGACGATGATATATATATATGAGAGACCACGGGTAAGCGGAAGAATCAAAATGATTTATTATTGCCCCTATAGATCATCCCCCTTTAGGGAAATCCATGCTGCTCATTCCGGGACAGCACTCACTCTGGAAGTTTATTTTGGTTCGGTCGAGTGGGGCGATAACTGTCTTGGCCACGGCCCCGGCTACCGCCCCCGCGCCCAAAGATGACATGATGGGGTACAAGGACGTGAAGGTGGTCTCATCCTCTGGAGTATTCTCTTTAGACGAGGCCAGTGATCTCAACTGAGGAATACGGAAGGGTTCAACTTTCTGTGTGACAATGGGGGGTGGCCCTGAAGGCATCACATCACAGCATTCTGAAGTCCTGAAAATCCACGGATGTAAACTTTGAAATTAAGCGAGGCTTATCCGATACAATCGACGCTTTCCTGTGATTCGGGGTGATAGTGTTCACTGGTTCGGCATCAATCCTTATCCATCGTCTCATTCTCAGATGGGAATCAGGTCCACAATCCTAAGGGGATTATTTCTCAGATCAAACTCCGTGAACGGATCGAGTAGCCTCCAAACACGACCAGATATGCTCCGTAACACCAGCTACGCCTCCGTTGTCCACGGACACCCAATCCGAGGGATCCTGGGGATATTTGAGTTATGACCCTCGATGACGAATCCAGATGAATGTGATTCGCATCCCGATTGTTTGTCAACAACATCCCGAAACATCGATGGATATTTGTCATTAACTCGCTTATCAGGAGACTTCCCCCGCGACTGTTTGGCAAACGCGATACAAGAGCGATAAGACTGGCGGAGCTCTACACACGTCTCTCGGTATTCAAGATTGCAAGTCACCACGATCATCTCCCTTAACCTTGTGCCAGAAATTACCTCTCGGCCGGCGAGGTGCTCGAACATCATGAATGAGCTCAGAGAACGGCATCTCTAATATTAGCACAACCCGTCATCCGACAGAACTGAACTTGTCGTCAGAGATCAGCCAGAACGGGAGACACGCATAGAGAAGTCTATATCGATGGAAGAATTCCAATGAGAGCGCGGAAGCGGACATGTCCCAATCGAACAGCTTGAGGAGCACCAGCGTTCGCAGCTTTCTCTACCTCCCATTCTGGTGATGGGCTTCTGGTCTCAGAAAACGCTCTGAAGCAAGAAATGGCACGACTGCAGAGGATCTGATCTTACATGAGCGCGTAGCGCCCAAGGCGGGTATTGCTCCAGGATTCCGTCGTACTCTAAGAAACTACATGAATGAGAGACGCACATTTTCGACCTCGAAGGGATGGAGATAGCACGGAAGCACTGCAACTCCACTGATCAGTCACATTTCCGAGAGAGTCTCGATAGTACAGTCGCTCCTCTCGGCACGAGTGCTGGGTTATGATTACCTGTCCACGATCCTGAGATCTATGTTTATGATAAAAGTTCGAGACATCTCTTTCCTAAGGACTCAGAGTCCCCTCGCCTAATGCTTCGCAATAAGAAGGGAGGGTGTTGTGCGCCGGAATTCTGCCTCAGAATCGCAGGAGGCTTCGATTTCGATCGGGGTCTCGACGGAGATTTGCTCGAAATTTCGACTCATGCCACGACTTGACGCGCAGTAGCTAACTCCCTCTACTCTGACAGTCTGTATATCGTGCTGGATCTGGAGAACGTCAGTAGACGACAATCTCGGCAATTAGCGCAAAACAAATCGAAGCTAACCTGCAGTTCTCTCAGCTAGAGCAGACAAACCCAGAGCACGAACGATCACTCGGAATTCACGCTCGCACCGATCTACGCACCTCCTCTCCCTCACTAACTGTTTGTAGCAGAGAGAGAGAGCACAAGTGCCGGATGACCTTTGTTGGACCAGCATTCGGTCGTGGTTGGACAGCGTTTGAATATTCCTTCTGATTTTCAGGAACGTGGGAGAAGCAAATGAGATGATGTTGAAGTCGTTGGGTTCCTCGCGAGGGGAGTCGCTGAACTCCAGAGCCTCTTGAATATCTTTCCTCGGGTAGGGTGACTGCGCGCCAAGGAGGAAGTCCCCCGTAACCGTGAAATCTCTATTTTTGTCAAGGAGAATATTAGAATACCCTGTCCTGCGGGCATGCGAGTCGGAGCCGCCAGAATGCTCCCTCGGAGGACGAACAGCTTCATTTCCAAGAGAAATTCCTGAGACCCCTACGCCTGTGCCTCCGGTAAACCCCCGCCCCTTGGTACCATGAGTATTGGAGGGGACGGATTTGATGAAATGATGACGGAGGATTCCACGAGCTATTCCCGCAGATTCCCGATCTCTATGTCCTTGAATCTCCATGCCGACTCTCAGCTGGCCCTTTGCCATCCCATCTCTCCGAGGCGCTCTTCTCCTGGAGCCAGGGGCGTTCACAGGATTTTTCGTGGGGGGGGGGGG